GGGTAGATGGATTGGTAAGTGGATGGATGGTTAGGTTGGGTGGATGGATGGATGGATGGATGTGAATGGATGGGTGGGTGGGTGGGTAGATGGATTAGTAAGTGGATGGATGGGTAGGTGGATGAGTGGGTAGGTGGATGGGTGGGTGGATAGGTGGATGGATGAAGTGGCAGGTGAGTAGATAGATTAGTAGGTGGATAGATGGATGGGTGGATGGGTGGGTGGATGGTTGCCTATTCCAAACTTTCCTCCTTTTTTGCCTTATTTTAGGAAGTATCGATCTGTTAGAAAATCAGTGGATCTCTTCCCACTTGCTAAACAAGAAGAGCGGGTTTCTTTTCCTTCTTCTTGATCTCTCATGCTCTCCTGTTAGCTGAGAATGGCTCTGTGAGGTCAGCAAGGCTACCAGCCTGTTTTCCAAATGAGGAAACTGTGGCTGGGGGAGGAGTGACTTGTTCAAGTCACCTGCCATCCAACTGATGTCCCACTTCCTGACCCAGCCCAATGCTCTTCTCTGGCCCTGGGTGCCCCTCTGTGTTGTTGGCCCTTGCAAGAGACTCTGACTTCCGGTTGTCTTTCAGGGTCACTGGGAGCAAGAAATCCACCAAGAGGACCAAATCCATCAATGGCTCCCTCTACATCTTCAGGGGTCGAATCAACACTGAAGTCATGGAGGTGGAGAATGTGGAGGATGGGACAGGTAAGCCCCACCCTGCCCCATCCTGCCTGAGCCCAGCCCTGGCTGCTCTGGCACTCTGTCCTCATTGTTTAATTGTCCATTTCTTTTATTATGAAATGTAACACATGCAGAAAAGTGCGTGGAACACAGGTGCACCAGGTGCGCGCCTGGGTCATCGGTGTTGGAGCTGAGAAATAAAAGTACACCCTGATCCTCCCCTGTCCACTGCCTGCCTTCCCACAGACGTGACCTCTGTCTGAGTTTTGTAATCATCATTTTCTTGCTGTTTAAAAATATTTTTACCTTTTGAGTGTTCCTTACTAAACATTTGATTTAAAGCTTCTCTGGTTGGGACCTCGCACAGGTGGTTATGATTACATGTTTAGACGGCCTTAGTTGTATATGGTGTTATATATAGTGTTTACATATAGATATTTAGGTGGCATAAAATACCGTCTACATTCTTTGGCACCTTGCTTCTTCCACTCTACATGGAAATGGTGTGACTCATCCACGCGTCCACGGTGGTTCTTTGTATATGGCAGTCCCGTTGCTGGGTGGTTTCCAGTGTGTGAACCTTCCACAGTTGTCTGTTCTTTGGGTGATGAGTGTTTAGGGTTGTTTCCCCTGGGCGTTATTGGAAACAGTGACATTGGGACGTTCTTGTTGCCTCTCTAAGTGCATGTGTCCTGGGGCTTGTCTGGGAGGGGTTCTTGATTTTGAGCCACACACCCCTTTGGCAGTCCCGTGACACCTGTGGACCCCTCCTCACATTCAGGGTGTGGCTACCTGCCATGTACCTGGATAGTACCCTTGTGTTTACAGAGAACTTCCCCGACTCTCTGCCCAGCCAGCAGGGTATAAGGGCCATGCACCTGACTTGGCATTGTCAGGCCATCATATCAGGGTTTATGTGGCCCTGGTGCCCCAATGGGACGAGGAAGAGGCTTTGAGCCCTTCCTAGTCTCTGGGCATGTTTCTCCCTGTGTCACTCCTGCATTCGTGACCCATGGGAGGTCTTGAAGCTCTGTCACTGAGGAGTTGGGAGGGGTCTCTGTAGAAGGTCCTTGTTGTCCACGGGAGACCAGCTGGAAGAAGACTGCAAATTTAGTGTCCCAGTCCAGACCCTGTGTTGGAGTAGGAAGGGGTGGTCCTGCTGTCTCACCTGAGTATTCCCGGGCCACTGGGAATCATGTGGCCAAGCCATGTGACCCACCTTTGCCTCCTGCCCTCGCCAGCCGATTACCACAGCAATGGCTACACCGTCACTAACGGCTGGAAGATCCACAACACAGCCAAGAATAAGTGGTTTGTTTGCATGGCCAAGACAGCAGAGGAGAAGCAGAAGTGGCTGGATGCCATCATCCGTGAGCGGGAGCAGCGTGAGAGTGAGTGGCAGGGCTCTTTGTGGGCTCCTTGGAAAGTGGCAGTCTCGGGGGGCTCCCTGGGGTCCCTGGGATGTGTGCAGCTTTTGCAGGGTGAGGACTGTGCATTGGGAAGGGGATAGGGTCCTTTCTAAAAAGGTGGGAGCCTGAGGAAGCAGGGTTTTGCTGGGGGTGGGGGCTTGGGGGTTGTGCTAGAACTTGCTGGTATAAGGCTCCTGGGTGGTGCCTCACCAGAGCTTCCCTTTGTTTAATATTCTCTGAGTCAAAGTCTGGGAGAAGGGTCCTTTGGGGCCCCCTGGGCACAGGCCCCTGTGAGGCAGTTCCCAGAGTGGAGCACAGGGACTGGATGTGATAGGTAGACAGTTGGAGGGTGCACTGAACTACGACGAGGCCCTGAGATGTGCAGAGACCCTAGGCTGGGAAGAGGGGACCTTGGTGTACTGGGGTTGAGTTAGTGCAGCTCCCCAGCCTGAGTGATCTCAGCTGATAAATGGGATGGAGGGTCCTGCTCAGAGTTGTGATGCTGGTGCATGAGGCCTTGGAAGTTTGAGTGCTCCACCTCCCAGGTGTGCCCAGGAGGAAATTGGGCCTTAATCTCTCTCCTTTCCCTCCTCCCAGCAAAGAACAGGCCACTGTCCCCTCTTGGGAGCATGGGCCTGGTGTGGCAGCCTCTGTGGATGCTTTCTGGGTCTCTAGGTGGTACTTTCTCATGTTAAAAGATGGATCAGAGTACATTCAAATGCTATTAGGCCCAGTGAACTACAGAAGTTGGCCCCTAGAGCTGATTTTCAAGGTGGTCCGGAGGTCAGGCCTGGGTGGGGCTGATTGGTATATCTGAGGTTATAACTGGGGGCTGAGGTCAGCTCTCGCCTCTGTGGTCTTGAGGAGGGTATGGCCTGAGGCTCGGTGTCCTAAGACTTGGATGTGGTCCAAACCCTGACCTGCGGCTGGGTGTGCAGGGTTGGTGCCTGCTGTGTGGTCAGGGGCCCAGGTGTGGAGTCAAATATCCTGGATCTAAATCTGGGTTCCACCACTTCTAGTTGGGAAGCTTTGGACAGGAAACCCAACTTCTTAATTTGTAAAATGTGGATAATGATGGTACCCGGTTACCACAGGTTTCCTCTGAGCAGCACGTGGCATTTGCCGTTGCTGTTAGGATAAGCTGGGGCCCGTGGGGAGGAGTGTGGGCGAGATCAGGGTTAGGATCGTGTGCGGACTGTCCGCAGGAGCAACCAGACATCCAGCCCTGGGCGGGCAGAGTGGAGGTGCTGGCAGGTTCTCTGTGCACCCCACATTTGGAAACACCCTCAGGGAGCTTGGCTTCTGGGTTGAAGGGAAGACCCCTGACTTAACCTCTCTGGGTTTCCCCCCTCCCACCTGAAAAGTGGCTGTTCGGGGGAGTCCCTGGCAGGTGTTCAGGTCAGAGGCCGACTGGCGGGAAGTACCCTGAGGCCATGCTGGGCTGGCAGTGCTTGTGGGGGCCAAGTGGGGCTGGGTTGGTGCTGTTCCTGGTGCTGACTGTGCCCACCTGCCCCCCACAGGTCTGAAGCTGGGCATGGAGCGCGATGCCTATGTCATGATCGCGGAGAAGGGAGAGAAGCTCTACCACCTGATGATGAACAAGAAGGTGAATCTGATCAAGGACCGCAGGAGAAAGCTGAGCACAGTGCCCAAGTGCTTCCTTGGCAAGTGAGTGGCCACCCTGGGCCCTGGCCGGAAGCAGGGAGGGCAGACCTTTCACAGCACTGTGTCCCCATGTCTCCTCCTGGCCAGAGCCACCAAGGGAGTGAGGGGGTTGGCTGAAGAGAAAATCTCAACCTGAGAGAAAGCCTGGGGTGGAGGCCGAGGTGAGGGAGATGGCGCTGAGCTGCTCTGACCGCTGTGAGGCCTCGCGGGCCTGGGAGGGAACGTGTGGAAGAGGACAGAGCCCCAGAGAGGTGGAGACACTGGGGAGGGTGGTGCCCCAGAAGCCAGGAAGAAAGGTGGGGAGACAGCAGGGAGCAGGTTCGGGCGTGTTGGGGTCGAAGTGCCTGCTGGGCGTTTGGTGACCGGTGTGGGTGGTGGGTGGCTGTCAGCGTGAGTGTGGGCTTGGTGGGCCCAGGGTCTGGCCTGTGGCGGGCAGCGTTTGTTCGGGTGGCCCAGTGCCCTGAGCGCTCAGCCAGTCTGACCCCGTGCTCCCTGGAGGCGCTGTGGAGGGGGAGGGTGCCTGGCTGGTCCCCAGCAGCTAATCTCTAATCCTGGCGGAAAGAGGCTTTTCTCCCTGGAGGGGGCTGCTTCAGCCCCGCTGGGTCCAAGAGCCTTCCTGCTGCCTCCTGCCAAACTGCTTAGTCTAGCCGGATGGGATAACCTGTCCGTGATTAGAGCTCCAGGGGAGTTTTCTGTGTCCTCAGGAAGGATTAGGGAGATTTCTTCCACTGCCCATTTGAATCCGGGCCAGGATTGCAGCTTGTTTTGTAACTCCAGGGTCTGAAGGACCTAAGGGTCCCCGCCCCACCCGCCCGGCTCTGCTCTGTACCTGCCGGCCTCCTGATGTCTGTTTCCTGCCAGGGCCCAGCTCCTGAGTGTCCTTATCCAAGAGTCCCAGGTCCCTGTGGGTAGAAGGAGTTGGTGGCTGCAGGGACAGGTTTACCAACTCCTTCCTTTCTCTCCTCCATGGCACTGGCACTTGGCCACATCTTTTAATCTCATACAACACTGAGGCAGGTCACTGCTGTTATTCCCACTTTAAGGGCAAGGAAACTGAGGCACAGAGAGGGAAGAGTTCTGCATAAGGTCACACAACCGTGGAGGCTGGGACTTGAATCCAGGCCTGTGCTTTCTCTCACTGCACTCTGCTGTTTGTTCATTCTTATTTCCATTCAGCATGCTTCATTTTCCCTTGATAATTATTGTCCATGTCTGTCTCTGCTACTAGATGAGAAACTGTGAATCCGAAAAGCATCTGGGTTGTCTTTATAACCTTCAAGGGTTGGGCTTGAGTCAGATTTGGGCTCAAGTCTTGGTTCCCACACTTGCTGGCTGTGTGACTTTGAGGAATTCTCTTAACCTCTCTGAATCTCAGTGAATGATGAATTAAAGAGAAAGAACGAAGAGTACTTCACAGGGTTGTTGGAGGACACGGTAACATGACACACGTGACGTGCTGTGGTGCTGGCTGAAGTGATGGAAAAGAAATATGTACTTTTCTGTGTCGGATGTCTTAGGTGGAGGTGTCTGTTTCTAACTACTCAGAAAAAAGCCCAACTGATTGATGCCACGTTGCAGACAAACAGGCAATAAAATCTGTATGTTATTATGGAGGACATCATGGGAGAAACATGCCTGCAGCATCCTCAGATTAGTTGGGGAGGTGAAATGGGTTCATCCATCCATCCATTCATTCAGTGTTTATCCAGCCCTAGTGTGTGCCAGCAGGGAGCAGGACAGTGGAGGCCCTATCTTCAGGAGACCGTTGAGGACTCAGACAGTGGACAAGTAGACAAACAAGATGAAGAAGGGCATTGCAGCAAGTTGATGGCTGCAGTAGGGTGATATAAGACAGAGAGGAAATGGGGTTGGTTCAGCCAGGGGAGGTGACATTTAACTGGACCCAAGTGAGAAGAGTCAGCCATGAGAAGCTCTAGGAAACAGCCTTTCTGGCTGAGGGAATAGCAAGTGCAAAGGTCCTGAGGTTGGAGCAAGCTGTGAAGAGTGGAAGAACAGTGAGGAGGCCATTGTGGGAAGGGTTGTGAGTAGCTGGAGGGGTGGGAGATGAGGCCCCAAGAGTTGGCAGGGGCCAGGTCAGGCAGGACTGGGTAAGGGCCAAGAAGGCTCTGTGGAGGCTCAGCAGGAGAGAGGTGAGGATGTAGCTCATCACACAGGCCCAGAACGGGGGCACTGTTGGGGCTGTCCGAGCTCAGGGGACCGGTGGGGACATGTGTTTCTTATAGGGGCAACCAGAGAAGGCTTCCTGGGAGGAGAAGGCCTTGGTCTCACCTGGACAGTGGTTAGTGAAGCTTCGAGGTAGAGGGGCCTTGCCAGCTTGGGCCCCGATGGGTACAAGTCCTGGGTGCTTGTGCTACAGGTGATGGGTACGGACTTAGAGAGGGGGGGTGCTGGCTGGGTGGCAAGGGGCACCCGGGGCCTAAGCTTGGACAGCTTTCTAGGGAAGACTGCAGAGAAGCCCCGTGCCCTGTGCTGGCCTCGGCCTTGACTTTAGCAGGCTGGGTCGAAGTGTCCTGGGGCAGAAGGAAGGGGGAAAGGAAGCTGGCACATCCCACCTCTCTCTTGGGCCCCGACTCTCAGGCTTTCCCTCATGCCGGCTTCCTTCTCCTGCTCCTCAGTGAACCTCGGGCGGCGGGGCTGCATCTTTCTGGAGGCCCTGGCTTGGCTGATTTTGCCCCCCACCCCCACCCCATTGGCTGGCCCATCACTGGCTTCCTAACCTTGCTCCATGGGCAAGGACTCCCCACACTGATTCCTCCCGAGATGCACTGCCCTGACCCCCTGCTGACCCAGGACATTGGAAACTGGGTTTTCCTTGGTCCATGTGGACTTTTCCAAAAATGTTGCTGGATATCACCACTGAACAATTGGGAGATTTCACGGGAAATGGCAGATTTACACCTTCTTTGGAGAGTGGTACCTTGCGTTAGTCTTTCTGTGGGGCTGAGTCACTGCACTCAGTGGCTGCTGGCTTTGGATGTGACAGGTGCTGGCTAGGTTGGCACCATCCTCGCTTGGCCTGTGTGATCTCTTTGTGAGCATTTGAGGCCCCTCCTCTAGAGATGAATTTTATCTAGTTTTGCTTACTGGGATCCCAGCTTAAGATGTCATATGAGTGAAGTTTTCCCACTCAATCCAGAGGGCCCTTCATTGAATCACTTGCCAGCTGGACCCTGTTGAGTCCCAGAGAGGGATAACAACTTGCCCAAGTTTACCCAGGCAACCACAGATTGGTTGCTGTCCTCTGGCTGTCTTTTGTCCCCCAACCCTGGCCACAGGCTGCTGGTCAGTACCAGGGGTGGCCCCCGGTGGATAGCCGGATGCTGGCCTCTGGCTTCTGAGTGTGGGCAACAAACATCTGTTGGCCTCCTGTACCTTCTGGCAGCTCTCTCCATGTCCCTCAGTTCTGGGAGTGGGAGAATGGAGCTGGGGGTGGACAGGACCCAGAGCAATTGCTTTCCTACGCAGGGCTCACACTCCAGAAAATAGATCCACCCTCCACCACCCATCTTGGTGTCCAGCCGGGCTTTCTCAGCGCACACTGCTACCTCCATGCAAACCAGGTCTTTGCTCTGCCAAACACTGGAGCTAAAAATAGCCCTCCCTCCTGGTGTGGAGTTGGAGGCGGGACAGCTGGTTTCGATAAGCAGAGAGCTGGGTTGCTGGCCTGCTGCCCTCCCCTTGGCTGCGCATAGAACTCGAGGGCCGGGCTCTCCCTTTCCCGCGGACCGTGTGGGCTGAGTTCTGCGCTGAGCCTGAGAAGTGCTCATTGGATCAGGGACTTGGGGCCTGTGGCTGGGTCTCTACCCCAGAGTCAGCCTGGAGTCAGAAAAGCTCCCTGTCTTCCTTGGCCTGTGAGACTACCGTCTCCCCCAAACCTTCCTCCTGACCCCACAGTATTCCTTGGGATTCCATGGTTTGTTCATTTCTTCATTGCTCAGTGAATGATTATGAGTCCTGTCGGGAGCTCCGCTCTCTTCCAGGAGCTGGAGACAGGGCCGGGCTCGAGATGAGTCAACTCCCTGTTCGCATGGAGGCGGCATTCGGGTTGGGGGAGGTGACTGGTAAACACACAAGCATGGTAACTTTAGACATGGACAAGCACCCCAGAGAAGCACAGCAGAGAGATGGGATAGCTTGTGTCGGGCCAGGGCACTGCTTTGGATGAGGCAGTCAGGGAACGCTTCTCCAAGGGGTGACTTTGGTACCGAGACCTGACGACTCTCCAGGCATCTTTCTGAATTCCCTGCTGCTTCTTCTGGTTTGTTTATTCATTCCTTCTGTTCACCCATCCATCCACCCACCCATTCGGCCACCGTGATGCACCCCTCACCCTTCACCTGGGCGTCTGTCCAGTTAACACCACCCTTCACCACCTCCGCCCACCTTCCCAGGGACCCATCCATTATCTCTCACCCACCCATTAACCTGCTCACCTGGCCGTCCGTGATCCAGCCAGCCAGCCGCCCATCCACTGACCAGCCAGCCTGCTCCCAGCCCACCCGCTGCCTGCCTAGGCATGCATCCAGCTGTCCATCCATGCCCTCACCTTCTGTCCACTCATCGTCATGCATGTGCTCATCCACCTACCTGCCCACCTGTCCTTCCACCTAGTCATCTGTCTCCTGACTCGTCCACCCACCCGCTGCCTCGGTCAACTGCCCTTTCTTTTCTTTCCTTCTTCCTTTCTTCCCTCCCTCCCTTCCTCCTTCCTCCTTTGAGCTGAGGCAGGCCTGGGTTTGGTGGTGCCCACCTCTGAGCTGTGTGTAAGGAGGAGACGCTGTGGGGTCCCAAGCTTCACTTGCCCTGGGACGTTCTGTCTGCTGTTTCCAGGGTGGATGTGGCCAGGCCACCTGAGTTTTGGCCACAGGATTGGGGAAATCGTCTCAACTGAGCCTTTTGTCCCTGGCAGTGAGTTTGTGGCCTGGCTCCTGGAGATTGGCGAAATCAGCAAGACGGAGGAAGGGGTCAACCTGGGCCAGGCACTGCTGGAGAACGGCATCATCCACCATGGTGAGTGTGGCCAGGTCAGACCCCACAGGGCTGTGCTGCCCCTGAGCCAGAGCCCCTTCCAAGCGGGCCTATTGCCTGGTGCACCGTGGCCCGGGAACATGGATGTCCTCCTAAAATTCCTGCCCGGGCTGGAGAACTCGGCATTTGCCCAGGGCACAAACAAAGCAGGGACAGCTCAAGATCTTGGGGACAGGGGAGGAGAATTTTCTATTTGTTGCTTCCAAACAGGAGAGAACCACTTTTTTCAGTTTCTGTCATTCAACAAGTATTTTTTGAGTGCTTGTTGTATCGGGCGCCATTCACAAACAGGCCAGGTGGTGCTCCTGTCCTCATGCCGGTGACCTTGGAGCTGGGGGATATAATGAGAGTGGGACCTGTCTGCGCCAGGGAGAGAGCGAGTGACTGGGCAGACACAGACAGTGTCTTGGGGGTCAGTTCTGAGTAGGGAAGTGAGGAAGGCCCCCCAGTGCCTGAGAGGTGAGCCGGAGCCAGATGGGCAGGGGAGCAGCCAGTGCCAAGTCCCCAGGCAGGAGTCCGAGTGTTTGAGCTTGAGCAGGTCTAGGAGATGAGATCCAGCACCTGAGAGGAGACTGCAGGGTGTTGGCTGCCGCTCTGCTTGAGGTGTGAAGCCGCTCAAACTTCCATCCCATCGGTGCCCTTGGCTGCTGTGTGGAGCTTGCTGTCACGTGGAGGTGGGAGCAAGGGACCAGCAGGGAGCTACCCTGACAGTCCCTGTGGAGAAGGGGTGGCTCCAAGCAGGGAGCGCGTATGGGAACCGATTCTTGGTATTTTGAAGGGAGGCCAAGGTGGGATTTCCTAGTGGATCTGAAGCATCAAGGATGATGGAGGCAGCTGGTAGAGACCCAGCTGTGCAGTCTCAGCCCCAGCAAGCTCAGTCCCCATGTGTCCCAAGGAGAGGCTGAGCCAGATTAGGGGGCATTTTGGGGCCTTTTGGCCCTGCAGGTGCCTGGCCAAGCTGCAAGTCTCAGCAGGATCCTGTGCAGGCAGGAGGACCTGGCATCCTCATCTGAAGGGCAGGAAGTGGGCAGCCAGGTGGTCACAGTGCAGGGCAGGAGAGTTCAGGGGCTGTGCCTTGTCTAGCACTCCCTACCTTCCCTCGCAGTGTCTGACAAGCACCAGTTCAAGAACGAGCAGGTGATGTACCGCTTCCGCTATGACGACGGGACCTACAAGGCCCGCAGTGAGCTGGAGGACATCATGTCCAAGGTAGGGACCTGAACCCTGATCCTGTGACTCTGACCCGGCTGGAGGAGGTGGGTGCCCAGCAGGCCGTGCCCAGCAGCCTGTTCTGCTCCTCCAGGGCCCCCACCCAGGCCCTGCTGTGCTCTGGGAGCATCTGTGTGCAGCCGTCAGCCCCGGAAGGACATGGCCTGATCCCACTTCCCTCTTCTCTTTCAGGGGGTGAGACTTTACTGCCGTCTCCACAGCCTGTATACGCCGGTCATCAAGTAAGTCCTTCCCGCTGTAAGTCTTACTCCATCTCTGGTTTCCTAGCTGCCTGTTCCTAGCTACGTGGTCTTGGGCTGGCAACTTAACCTCTCTCATCCCCAGCCTCCTCCATCAAATCATATCTGCCCTTGTCCCTTTGTCATCAGGTTGAGTTAATTTGTGGGGTGCTGCAGGGATGAAAGGTGTCAGTGTCACATGGGAGAGTACAGGCCTAGGGTAAAGTAGCACTTGTTAAATGTTTGTTGAGTGAATGTTGAAGGGTAATTAATCTCTTTTGCCTCTGTTTCTGCCCCTGTGAAGTGGAAATAAGAATAGCTCACACCTCTTGGGTTGCCAGGAGATCAAATGCATTTGAATGGTTCCTGGCACGATGAACGCCATTGGCTGGTTGTTCTCTCTACTGCGAAGCTTGTAGTTGTGAATGGAGGGGCAGGTCACCCGATTCTTGTCCCACCTGCCCCTGTCCTGATAGCTCTCCTTGCCCCCAGAACAGGGCAGGCATTGGCTGGCTCCCAGGGTCAGGCCCTGGGAGTCTCTTTATTGTCTGCCTTGTCACCTCCCTGCCCGGCTGCTCCGACGGGGCCCAAGTACCAGCCCTGAGGTGGGGGAGGCAGTCCCCGTGGTGCCCTGTGGCCTCTGGGCTCCGTCACCACGGCCTGTGCACCTTCTGCACCAGGCTTCTCTGTTGGGTCTGGGCTGGGACCCAAGCCCCTGTCCCCTGCCCAGCACTCCCAGAGAGCCCAGCACAGAGGATTCCTGGGCCCAGCGAGTGGGGGTGCGGTGGTCCCCGTGCTTGTCCCCCACTACCCACTCACCTGCTGCTCCCCGCAGGGACCGTGACCACCACCTGAAGACCTACAAGTCTGTGCTGCCCGGGAGCAAGCTGGTGGACTGGCTGCTGGCCCAGGTGAGGGGCTTCCTGCCGAGAGGGACTGTGTGGGGTTTTCAACATTTTCTGTTACCATTTTAAATTGTAGCAGAATTCACATAAAGTTTGCTCTTAACCATTTTCATGTGTCCAGTGGTGTCAGGCACATTCATAATGTGCAGCTGTCACTGCCCCTGCAGATCTGGAACTCTGTGCAGCCCAAGGAGGCCCCCCCGCCCAGCCACTTCCTGTCCCCCTGACTCCGAGCCCTGCACGCGCCTCCCCAGAGCAGGATCCGACAGTGCCCTTTGTGACTGCCTCGTCTCACTTAGTGTGCTTTCTTCCAGGTTCATTCATGTGGTAGCATGTTTCAGGGTTTCCCCTGACTTTAAGATTGAATAATAAATACTCAGTGGAATGTGTCTTAGGCCATTTGTCTGATTAGAGCAAAATACAGTGGTACCTCGGTTCATGAACTTAATTTGTTCTGGGATTCTGGGGAAGATGGCCAAGTTCTTGTTCGTCACCTGATGAGGAGTGTTCATGAATGGAAGCAAAATTTTGCTGAACACTTCTGTTCTTTGTAAACTGAATTGTTCGAGAACAGAAATGTTAGTGAACCGAGGTGTTACTGTATCAGAGCTGGGTCATTTATAAAGAACAGAAGTTTAGGGCCAGGGATTTAGCTCAGTGGTTTCGCCACCTGCCTTGCAAGTGCAAGGACCCAAGTTCGATCCCCTGGTACCAAAAAAAAGAACAGAAGTTTATTTCTCATGGCTCCAGAGCTGGGAGTTAGGTGCCAACAGGTTTGGTGTCTGCTGAGGCACAGTGGCGCCTGTGGCTGTGCCCTGGGGAGGGAGGGGCGCCCTGACCTTGTGTGGGAAGGGCTCGTTCATGAGGTCCCTGATCCCACCAGGAGGCGGGCCCGTCATGACTCCGTCCCCTCCGAAGGGCACACCTATTAATTCTGCTGCTTCGGGGATGGGGTTTCAGTGTGGATTTTGGAGGGGACACGAGCATTCAACCCACAGCAGTGTGGCAGACCTCACTGTTACCCCATTGGTGCCTCAGGTGGAGCTTTCCAGTTTTCCGCCTGGGACAGACTGGGACACATCGGTTTTATCCTAGCACTAGATTGGAGCCTCTTGCCAAGCATTTTTTTTTCAGAATGTCCCCATCGAGGAGGGGCTGGCCGGGGGCATGGACAGTCTTTCCATTTCACTGTTGCTTCCCCTCTGTTGAGTCCTGCAGAGATGCCCGTGTGTCCATCCCATGGCTCCTGTTCACCGCAGGCCCCCTGGGAGGGAATTGGACATTATCTTATTTTGTTTTCTTGGCAATACTTAGGATGGAACCCAGGGCCTTTACATTAAGTTACATCTCCAGCCCTTTTTAAGATTTTTAACTCTGAGCCAGGATTTTACTAAGTCACCAAGTTGCCCAGGCTGGGTTTGAACTTGCAGTCCTCCTGCTTCAGCCTCCCAGAGTGCTGAGATTAAGGTGGGATTACCACCACGGGCATCCTGTACAAACCATTTGCAGATGGGGCCTAGGGCCCAGAGTGGCAGGTGCCTGGTGTCTGGCGCACACAGCCTCCCGGTGGCAAGGCCAGACTGAGGCGGTCCTTCTTTCTCGGTCCAGAACTCTGCCTGGGTCCCGTGAGTTTTTCAGGGAGCCCACTAGCATGGGCTTTGTAAGTGGTCTGGATCCCAAAGGTGAGGAGACACCTTCGAAATCAGAATGGACCAATGTGTGAATATCTGCAGAAGGGAGAGTATGTCCGCCTCATTAATTGTTCAGCTGCTCAGTTCAGAAGAGCTGCGTCCCTTTTGGAAACAATTTGCTGGCTAGCTTTTCTCATGTTGCACAAATGACTGACAATTGCAGAGAAGTCACCGCCAATCTAGAAAATAAATATTTCTGGGTGTCAAATAAGTGCGTTTAGAAGAGTCCTTGAAAAAATTTTAATATTTAAGTGAGATGCTTGTAAATTTTCTTATGTTTGCCATGGTGTGGGGCCCCAAGACCTGAGAAGTCTTGAAGTCTCCAGGTTTGAATCCAGTTGCATGTCTGTGACACTCAGAGCTTCTGACCACTCTGCTAGATGTACCCACCCAGAATCATATGAACAGCCCAAAGCAGTGCCATGCAGAGCTGAGTTCAAATCCTACCTCTGCTACTTCCTAGCTGAGTGACCTTGGTCAAGTTGCTTACTTTTTTTGGTCATTTCTTTTTTTTTTTTGGTACCGGGGATCGAACTTGGGTCTTTGTGCTTGTGCAGCAAGCGGTGAAACCACTGAGCTAAATCCCCAGCCCAGCTTACTTTTTTTGTACCTCAGTTTCCCCACGTGTGAAACAAAGCACGAAACTATACTTCCCTTTTTAGATTGCTTTGAAGATTCAGTGGGTAATTGTGGAATGTGCTTAGAATGGTACCTGGCATAGTCACAGCTCTGTAAATGTGACTAGAGTTCTTCCTCTTTTAGCAAGCATTCAAATGGCCCACACTTACAGTGCAGTATAGAAGGCTAAAGGGAAGAAATTGCAGAGGGATTTGAGGGGCCAGGAACAACAGGATTGGGGGCCAGTCTGCAGAGCCCTGCCTGGAGGGTGTGCGGTGAGCAGGTGGGGGCCCGTGGGCTTGAGCTTTGGGGTTCGGGTGCCCTGGTCACGGCCCAGACATCCCTGCTTTGCGGGCTCGGAGATGCCGCATCTCTGCCTGCCCTCCCTGTGGCCGCCTGTGTCCTGTGAGGTGTGTTGCTCCACAGCATAAGGTCGCGGTTGCCTCCAGGAGTGGCACTCAGGCATGAGCCGGGGCAGGGTGGGTCTCAGAAGCGTCTGGGGATCAACGCTCTGTTGACAAGGGTGTGACCATAAAGACCGGTTACCTCGAGCCTTGATTTTGGGGCCATCCTTACCTTGTACCTAGCGGGAATGTCAGAGAACCCATCACTATGTAGTTCGTATATAGTTCAGGAGGCCTTTTCCCCTTTGGACACATCATCCTTTCTAACTTCTAGGTTACTCTCCTTGAAACAAAATGTCGATTGAAGGCTTAGTGGATCAGTTAGGAACACTGAACTGGCTACACATAATAGGAAACCTGACTTCTACAGTAAAAACATTTTTCTCTCACATAACTAAATGTTTAGAGCTCATGACCCTAGAGCTCAACAATGCTGTTTGACTCTAGCCACCTTCCTCCCTTTTGTAATTACCTTGCTCCTGTTGCCTCATGGTCACAAGGTGGCTACTACAGCTCCAGGCATCACATCTGCACCTCAGGTAGAGTACTTTTTCATTTCATGTATTAGGGGAAGAAACTTCTTACATCTTTCCCTCCTTCCAGCGTTCTTCCTGTTTTCATTGGCCATATGGGTTACACATATTCCCCTAAACCATCTCTGGGGAGAGAACAGGGTCGCTGAGAGTGACATGGATTCCTTGGGATCCATCCCTTGATGCTCTGGGAAGGGTTTGCTGTCACTACCTGGATGAATCAGGTCTTCTACCTTGGAGGATGGGTTTGTGTGCGCCCTTGGACAAGTCATACTCTGTCTCAGTTCTGAGCTGCTGTGTGCATTATCTCATTATCTCAATTAAACCTCAGAACAATGAGGGAAAGCACTTCCTACCCTGACTTAACAGATGGGGAAACTGAGGCTCAGGGTATGTACCCTGCTCATGGCTGCTCGCTCTGCTCCGTGGAGGCTTTTGTGCTGCCTGGATAGTACCGATGCTGCAGGGGCACTGCAGGGGGAGGGAGGAGGCCAGGGAGACGCTGAGCATAAAAGCCCTGGGAGGGTTAGGGCTCAGAGAGGGTGCATGGGACAGGCTGCCCACCAAGGCACAGCCAGGCACGGCCAGGCAGAGCCGGCTTGAACCCAGAAGCCGCTGCAGGGCTGGCCCTCCCTTCGCCCCCAAGACTCTGGGGTCTGTGCTGCAGGTGTGGGGGCTGCAGCGGGCAGCAGGGCCAGCCCAGAGCACCTGTGGGAGGCTTTGGCTCCCGTGGCCACAGGTGATGGTGCTGACGGCCTCCTCCTTCCACATTCTGCGCCCCATCAGTGCTGCTGTTGAGTGTCCCCATGGGGAGATGTGGGTGACCCTGGCAGATGCCACCCTGCCCTCGAACTGACACCCTGTGGGAGGCAGACCCTACACATACTGTGGTGAAAGGTAGTTAGGGGAAGGATTCTGAGCCCAGGAGCTGGGTGCTGACACCTGCAAAGCCCAGGGCAGGGCCTTCTAGGAGGAGAGAAGAGGAAGTGCAAAGGCCCTGGGGCTGCAGAAGGAGCAGCAGGGGCCCAGTGGGACTGGAGCAGCAGAGTACGGGAGGAGGGGTGAATAGATGGAGGTGAGGCAGAGAGGAGCCCTGGGAGTGCGCATGCCGTGGGAGCCCATGCCTTCTGGGAAGGCAACGGTGCTACTGTCAGGACTGCTGGCAGGAGCTGCAGCTTGGGCTTGCTCCTCAGTGGTGCACCCCGGCCTGTTGCTGTTAGCCTGAGCACCCCCATGTTGCCCAGGCCCCTTTCTGAGGCGGGTGATGGGCTGGGGGCCCAGGTTGTGCACGGCTCAGAAGCCAGGTGGGCTCCAGATGCCAGCTAGTGCCTCCCTGGCTGCAGAGGGGTCCTGCTGTCCTTCCCCACTGGCTTCACAGCTGGGGTCGGCTGCTCCAGATGTGGCCTCGCTGCAGTGCCTCCGCTGGCCCTGGTGGGAGCCCCTGGCCTGGGGTCCCCATGGAGCAGTCTGTCTTTATCCTGTCAGCCCGGGCTGCTGCACGGAGAGTCCAGAGCGCTCCTGCTCTGCACAGGGTCCGGCCGGCGCTTGGGTGCTGCAGCCTCTGGAACAGCAGTTGTGTCCTGTCCCTCGGCTGGGAAACACCATCTGCCACCCTGGCTGTGCTGAGGAGGGACTCGGGCCGCTGCCCTGCCTGCCTCCACTCCCTTATTCAGCCCGTGGACACGGAGTTCCAAGCATGTGGCAGGCCCTTGTCACCTCTGAGGTTTAAGCGGGACACAGCCCGGGCTCCTGCCCTGCTCACAGCTGTCTGCTAGCCCTGTGCCTTGGGGTTCCACTGCACCCTGAGTTCTTTCCGTCCCTGGGCCTTTGTGTCTGCCCGTCCCTCCCTGCCACGCACGGCCTTAGCCTGGCTGTGTTGGGATTGTGCAGGTTCCAAGCCTCTGGAAGGAGACTCTGGTGGATTTGGGGTGGAACAAGAAGATGGGGACCCGCTGGGGGAGGTGGGGAGCCCCGGGACCCATGCCGTGGCAAGTATGGTGCCAGGGCACCAGGAAGCTGGCGCTGAGGGAGAATCCGTGCCGCCACTCCTGTCCTTGGGCTCCTCCGCCCAGGCGTCCAGGCTGTTCCTGGGCCTGCGAGGACACTGGCCCACCTGGGAGGCACCCGGCATGCTGCCTACTGGCCTTGGGTGGGTGCCTGAGAGTGGCAGACCCCCTGCTTCCAGTACCAGCGTGGCATGTTTGTGGTTACAAAACCCGGCAGGGAAGCATGACTGGAATGGCCACCACGTGTCAAGAAGTGTGGCAGTGGGTGGTTGCAGGGCTGGTTTGTGGGCTCAGTGGTGTCACACCCCCTGGGACCTTCGCTCTTCACTCTGCACCTCTGCCATGCTGCGGCCACCAGGGCCTCCACCATCGGCCCCCTGCATGGTTTTGACCTCAACAGGAAGGGGAGGTGCTACTTCTCTTCCTCAGGAGGGAGCTGTTTCCAGAAGCTCCCAACAGGCTTTCTGGGGGTCTCCTAGGCTGCAGCCAGGTCATTGGGCAGTAGGACCTGATTTCTAGCATCAGGGACACAACTACAGAGGTCACAACAAATCAGGGTCTCTCTTGCATGAGATCAGCCCAGAGGATGGTGGTCCAGAGCCACTAGGAAGTCATGATCGCTTGGAGGAGCACACTGTCTTTCTGCTCCGCCATCCCTACATGTGCCATCCTCAAGGTCACTGTGGTCCAGCATGATTGCAGGAGCTCCTAATATCACACCTTTATTCTGAGCAAGGAGAAGAGAAAAGAATAGGTTGTGGATAAAGGACGTTTTGCCAGAGTACCCTACTGGGGTTGCTTGTACCTCAGTGGCCACCTGTAGCTGCCAGGGAGGCTGTGAAATGGGTGAGGGTTTCGTTACTAGGCAAGGACCTGGAAAGGGCTGTTGCTGGCAACCAACAGTATCTGCTAGTTACTGTCTCCACTTTGCCTTTGTGGTAGTAGCATTTATCACTGCACAAAGAAATGTTTTTCTCCCTTGGGGTTTATTCAGGACAGTCGCTAATACGTTTTGGAGGCACCACAGCAAACAAAAGAGACAAGGGTCCCATGTCCTCCAGTGCTTTGAGGACGCCGGCTGCCTAATGCTGTGCCCTCTTTTCTACTCCAGGGAGACTGCCAGACACGGGAGGAGGCGGTGGCACTTGGCGTGGGTCTCTGCAACAACGGCTTCATGCACCACGGTAACCCCTGCCCCGCCTTTGCCCTCCCAGTGTTGCCTTCTGCCTCCCCCTCTGCCATCCCCTCTGCTTGTTGACAGCTCGGTGAGGCCCCCCACCCCAGATAGAGTGGGTCTCTGCCTCAGTGGAGGAGGCCGCAGTCGGGAGCCCGGGCATCCCCTGCCCCTGGAAAGGTCCCCTTTGTCCTTCCTGTGCTTGTTCTGCTCTTTTCCCGTGGATGTGTGTGTGCCAGGCACGGCGCGTGGCACTAGGACCAGAATTCTGTCTCCGGTGTGCATGCGTGCATGTGTGTGTGCGTGTACGCGTGTGTAACATGAAAGGGCCGTGCCACGTGAGGACTCCGGCTTCTACTGGGTGCGAGGCAGGACTTCAGGATGCTGTGACCAGGGGGCAGATGTGGCCAATTTGGTTTCTTGGTTCCTGTCAGATCCCTCTGGCTGTGGGAGGAGAACGGTCAGGGTGGGAGGAAGCAGTGGGGCCATGAGGTGAGCAGGACAGTCCAGGGACGTGAGGAGGCTTGGCTTGGTGTGAGGCTGTGAGTCGCAGGAGGGGCCTTTGGTCACGTCTTCTCCGTGATCTCTGCTTTTATTTCTACCTCAGAGGTCAGTGCACTTTCTCCATGAAGAGCCCGGTAGGAAATATCGTAGGTTCCTGGTGACACAGTCTCTGTCACAGCTGCTCATGTCTGTGTTTGTAGTGCAGAAGTAGCTACAGACTGTGTGGAAACAGGTGTGTGTGGCTGTGTGCCAATAAAACTTTATTTAGAAGAATAGGCAATGGCCCATAGAGTTCTGACCCAAGGTCTGCTTACCTTGACCAGCAGGCAAGGCAGTCCGCAAGCCAGGACTCCTCTTCTGGCTTCAGTTTCCCCAGCTCTGCCTGGAGGCCTGGTTGACCCCCTTCTTCTCCTTCTTTTTTGGTACTGGGGATCGAACTTGGGATCTTACGCTTGCAAGGCAGGCGGCAGCACCATTGAGCTAAATCCCCGGCTGTCCCCCTTCTTCTGAGCCCAGCACGCTGTGTTTCTGGGGGATGAGGACTCCCCTCACGTCTGCTTTCCCTGCTGAGGAGGGCAGGCCAAGCCCACCCATCTGGCCCATCTCATCCAGGTCCCTCATTCCCAGAAGCCACTCTGGTCCCGGCAGGTCCCTCCTGCCAGCCAGCTGGGCAGAGCCTCTCATTTGTGGGTGAGGGTAATTAGGGGTCTGTCCCACAGCTATTCCGGGAAGGCTACTAGTGGAGGACATTTCGTGGGGGTGACTCTCAGACAGTCTTGAGCCCTCAGGGTTCCTTGGGGAGAGAGATTGCAGGGTGTGCCCTGTTCCGCTGTTCCCTGCCATGCACTCAGAATGAGGCTAAAATAGGAGAGGGCCAAGCCCTGGGCTGTGGCTGTGACAGGGTCCAGGGCAGGGGGCAGAGTGGGGGTGGGGTGGGGTTGCCGTGGCCTCTCCGTGGCCATCCTAGAGCTGAGCCTGTTGGGACCTGAGGTGTCTCAGAGAGGGACCTGAGAGGCTGGTGGTCCAGCTGTTAGGCAAGTACAGGGAAACTGAGGCTCGCCATCCAATCCTCCCAGCCATCCCAGGAAATCAGTGCTCTTTTTACCCCTGTGGATGAGGAAACCCAGGCTTGGAGAGGTTGTAAGGCATGAGGTTAGTAAGGGGCTGTGCAGGGACTTGAACCCAGACCTGTGTGCGTCTCACCGACCCTCCTGGTGACTCTGACTGGGAGAGACAGAAGGCCAGGCCTCACCTGGCTGAGCTCGGGATTCTGCACTGTTTTCCCAGACATTCCAGCTGAGACACAACACTTCGATTCTTCCACCCATCCCTGGAATCTTCTAACTTAATGTTTATAGTGGAGTCGAAGCCAGCCGGCCCCCTGGAGCCTGGCTCCGGCTCTGGGGAAAGTAGCAATTTATGTCTGTTTTCTCCAAAGAGGTAATTGGGTGTCTCACAAACAGGTAGAGTCCCCAGGAAATGGCCTGGGCCCCAGCAGGCGGTGGGGAAGAAACACCTCGTGCTGTCTTCCATTTAGCCACCAAGTCAGGACACAGCCTCTGTGTTCAGGGACGATAAACCCCTCCCAGCTAAAGCACCCGTTTCCCTTGTTGCAGGGCCCCTCTGACTTTAGACGGCTGCCTTGTCTTACCTAGCCTCGATTTCCCTTTACCTGCTGCTTCTGTTCACCCAGCTCCTCCAGCAGGGGGCGGTGTGGAGAGAGAGGGTCCTGGATGACGGCTGTTCTGCTGCCTGCTGGTCCTGACCTTGGGGGTTTGTTTAGCCTCTCTGGGCCTCATTTCCGAATCTGTAAAGGGGGTGGAGCAAATCCATCCTTGTTTGAGGACTAAATGAACTAAGCACACAGCTAGTGTACTTAGCCTCATCCGTGCATAGTTACTGGTAAGCCACAGGGATCAGGCCCTGTATTCGTGATTTTTGTTCATTTTCCTGGATCACAAGCTCGGGTTCAGGGGGCATTAGCACACTTTCTCTTTAAAATGGCCACATTGCAGCAATTTAGGCTTTGGGGGCCGTGTAGTCTCTGTCACAGTCAACCAGCAGTGACACTGTGGCTTGGGAGCAGCTACAGACAATGTGTAAACAGATGGATGTGAGTGCTGCCGGTGAGATTTTATTTTAGAAGGTAGTGGACTGTACAGGTCTTTTTTTGGTGGTCTTAATACACAATCCTTTTCTATCCTGGGACAAAGACATTCTACATGTTGTGTGGCTGGCTTTAGTTTTACTGTTCATATTTAGGCCTTTAAACCACCAGGAGTTTATTGTGGCATATGGTGTGAGTTAGGGATCTGATTTTTGGTTTTCCCTCAAGCGAGTCATTTCCCCAGCATCGTCTTGTCCACTTGATCCTCTGTCATCCATCATGTGCTGAATCCCTGAACACACTTAGTCCTCTTTGGTGATTCCTGTTCTCTTCCATTGGCTATTTATCTCTTTCTGCTCCAATTTTACACTATTTATGTCACCGTGGCTTTGTAATATATTTTTATAGCAGGTGGGGCAAGTTCAGCTCTTTCAAGAGAAGTCAGAAAGCTGGATCATTATATGAGATATCCTAATATGTTAGTGTTGGCGCATGATTCCATTTTAATAAAATACTATGTTGGCCAAACCAAACTTGTCCAGGGGCCATTTCCAGCCCATGGCAGCCAGTTGGCAAATGCTGCTGAAATGTTGCCCTGAGTCTGACTGTGTCTGTGGGTTTGCAGTGTTGGAGAAGAGTGAGTTCAAGGATGAGTCCCAGTACTTCCGCTTCCACGCTGATGAGGAGATGGAGGGGACCAGCAGCAAGAACAAACAGCTGCGCAATGACTTCAAGCTGGTGGAGAACATTCTGGCCAAGCGGCTACTGGTAGGAGCAGAGCTGAGCTGCTGCCCTTTCCTTCCCAGCCCCTACTGCAGGCCTGGGAGCTGGGCGACCTTGAGACCACGGCCAGAGCAGAGGACTCGGGCTTAAGCCCCAGAGTCTGGGGGACTCTAGGTGGCCAGGAAGCCAGGTGGCTGCGCCAGCTGACTGCATTCTTGATGGGCTCAGGGCTGCTGGGTGCCCCTCCTGCCCTCTCCAACCCCTCCCTGACCCACAGCTGAGCACACTGTGGGGAGGAAGACCCTGAGGCTACTGGCCCTGGGTCCCCCATGTGGCCTTAGGTCTCTGGGCCAGGCGGCCTGCTGTCCATAGCCTTGGGTTCAGGGGAGTGTTTACAGCCCGTGTAGAGATGCCCTCGCTCCGCCCCGGATCCTGTCTGCCTGCTGGTGAGCAGCAGCCCCTCCTGACGTGCCCACAGTGGGCAACTTGAGTGCTGCTCAGAGGGATTGCTCGCTACTGCCAACTTGGAGCAGGAGTCTGTGGACAGGAAGACGGCCCCACTAACCTCTCTCCAATTCCATTTCTCTCATGCTAAGAGCCTCCCATGCTCCCCACCACACTTAGGATTAAATGCAAACTCTTATCGTGGCCTAGAAGACTCTTGCTGCTTCTCCAGCTTCATCTCCTGTGCTCTCCCCTTCCTCACTCCACCTGGCCACCCTGATCTCTTTCCTTACCCCCCAGCACCTTGGGGTCTGCCTCAGGGCCTTTGCACGTTCTGTGCCTGCTGCCTGGAGCACTTTCTCCCGCTTTGTGAAGTTCTGTTTCCTACTTCACTCAGGTTTCAGCTCAAGGGTCACCTCTTGTAACCCTGTACCATGCCATGCATGCCCTGTCTTGTTAAGAGCTGTATTTTAATTCAGTCTGCACACACTCCCTGTCTCACATCCTGTTTGTTTATAGTCTGTCTCCTCCACTAACAGCTGCGGGAGGAGGGCAGGGTGTCTTCCACAGTAGCGAGTCTCCAGCACCCAGTGGGGCCCTTGGCCCACACTCAGGTAGGCAGCAGCTCAGTGAACACTTGCTGAATGAATATACACAGCCCACATCCCCACCACCATGGGAACCCCAGCCCTTCTTCTAGCACACTCACCCCTAAACTTCCTGCCCCCAGGTTGTTGGTGGCTGGACACGTTGGGACCCACTCCCTGCATTAGGTCAGCCAGTGTTTGTGGAGCACCTGCAGTAGACAGTGGATGGGAGACGACGTGGAGAGGAGCCTGTTCCCGGGCGGGGAGGAAGGGGAGAAGGCAGTGGCAGGGACAGAGGCGTGGTGGGCACCAGCCCAGGTGTGCGTGCGGATGGTGTGGCCTCCCTGACAGCTGTGCATCAGGCACCTGCTGAGCGCCAGGTGGCGCTGTGTCGCACTCTGTCCTGCCAACCGGGACCTGGCTGTTTCCCTGGTAGACCTGGGATGAGAGGAGCCCAGAGTGTCCCAGTCCTGTGAGGCGTTGCTCTGGCCCCTTCTGCCTCACTGGTCCCTTCTGCCTTGGCCCTCAGATCCTGCCGCAGGAGGAGGACTACGGCTTCGACATTGAGGAGAAGAACAAGGCCGTGGTGGTGAAGTCTGTGCAGCGGGGCTCACTGGCCGAGGTGGGCAGGGGGTGTGATCAGGTGGGAGAGCGGTGCGTCCACCCGTGTCTCGAGGCAAGCCAGCTGAGCCGGTGCTGGCACATAAGCCGGGTCCTTCACTGTCATTACCTGCATGGGGAAACTGAGTCCAGGACCCTTCATCAGCAGTTCTGGCGGAGCTGTGCTGGGACTCAGCTGCTCAGGACCCTGTTCCCGGCGTGTCCCACCCGCGCCCCCTCCTGGGCTCTGAGGGGAGATGCAGGAAAAGCAGGTTCCGAGATCAGGTTTTTGAATTGAGTTTCTCAACTGTAATAACAGGAAACCCAAATTCCACTGTCTTGAGTAGGAGGAGCTTAATCTCTCATAGACACAGAGTCTTGAGGAGGAGGTGGAAGAGGAGGAGGAGGAGGGCAGGGTAGGAGGGCGAGTCCATGGCAGGCTGAGGACTCAGCCCCGTGCGTCTCTCAGCTGCTCTGGGGGTGGGGAGGCAGGGACGCAGGCCGTGTTGGACAGTGCCTGGTGGGGCAGTGGGGATGCTTTGGCCTGTAGGAGCCACCACCTGGCTTCATGGGGCTGAAGATTAAGGGCTGTCCATGCAACATGAGGGCTTGGGAGGAGGGAGCTGGAGCCTTGTTTCAGGTTGCTGCACCTTCGGCTTTGGTGGCCGAGTCCTCGAAGTCGTGCGAGGCCACCCCTGTTTAACACCTGTGCCCTCACCCAGCGGGGTGGGCTGTGCCCTTTCTCCCCAGGGAAATTGTCTGCCAGCAGCGCCTCCCACCCACCCCTTTGGAGCTTTGTGGACCCCTCACCCTCTTACCCGGGAAGTGGCGCCCCAGGGGCTTTCTGCTTTCTGTTTGATCACTGGGGCAGGTGCCATGCCTCAAAAAGCACTTGAGGTCCCTTTAAGAGTAGGATGGAGGCCATAAGCCATGCACCGTGTCCCTGCTGTCCCCTAGATGGCTGGCCTGCAGGTGGGCAGGAAGATCTACTCCATCAATGAGGACCTGGTGTTCCTGCGGCCCATCTCGGAGGTGGAGTCCATCCTCAACCAGTCCTTCTGTTCCCGCCGCCTGCTGCGCCTCCTGGTGGCCACCAAGGCCAAAGAGTGAGTGTCCCCAGGTCCCCCCCATCCTGTGCCCCCCCCCCCCCCAGGCAGTCCTGCCGACCCTCCTCCTAGCTGAGGAGCTGCAGAGTCCTGGGGCTGGGCCACTGTCCCGGCTCCCTGTGCACTGCTCTGTTGCTGGAGGCCATGACGTGAAGCTAGTGCTGCCGTTCATTCTGAAGATGCGTCCTGGGCGCCCCCTACATCCGGGTGTCTCAGGCTCCGGGGATGCGGGCAGGTCGGGTGGGTACAGCGCCTCCCTCTCCTAGCCCTCAGTTTCAGTTGAGGGATGGAGCAGGGGACAGAAATGCGCAGATAGAGATCTGGATACACACTGAGCTGGGTGGTGTGTGAGATGCAGAGAGATGTGTGAAGCTGGGAGGAGCCAGATGTGCAGAGGAAAGGTGGTGAGGGCGGTGTTACTGAGAACTGAGGTGAAGAGCTCGAGGAGGTGATGAAGGAGTAAGGGGCTTCTAGCAGAAGAGTGTTCTAGGCAGAGGAAGCAGCCAGTGCAAAGGCCCTGAGGCAGGCCACTTGGCACATCTGAGGAACAGTGAGGAGGGTGAGAGGCTGGAGCACTGCGAAGGCTGAGTAGAGGGATGAGGTCAGGAGACAGCAGGGCCAGCCCTGTGGGACCTTGTGCCCACGGTAAGGACTGTGGACAGCTGATCACTCTGGCTGCAGGTGGAGGCCAGTGTGAGGGCCAGAGGTGGGAGCAGGGAAAGGCCAGGAGGCTGGCAAGTCTGCCCTGTGTGGAGGGGTGTGAGGTGGGGCCGTACCAGGTACAGATGGATGGGACGCATTTGCTGTTAGAAACTGTGCATTCGGTGCCCACGTCTCCCTTTTACTGAAGGTCAGTGTTCTCTTGATGTGAGCGATGGGAGGTTTTAGGGGTGGTTATTTCAGGAAAAAGGCACCCAGAGGTAGGGAAAACGTGATTGCCAGTCTGGCTGGCACATGGAAGTGGGAGAGGTCCCCAGGGTGAAAGTTGTGCAGACGTTTTAAGTTGGTGAACAGGCTCCCATCCTGGCTGTGGTGGGTGGGACCGGAGGGACGTTGGTGCGGCAGGAGGTGGGAATGCACCGTTGGCAGGGGTCGGACAGCTGAGTGGAGGCCCAAGAAAGAGGACTCCCCGCCCCCGGACAACACTGCTTCTCTGGGCCATGATGGGAAGAGGCCTGGAGAGCGGCCGAGACCGTGGCTGGCCGGCTGTGCCCTCTAGGGGACCTGTGGGTGTGACCTCTGGGGTCAGCACTGCGCCATGCTGGGCCGCTTCTCACTCTCATCATTGTTTGTTGAGTAAAATTCTGACCAGCCAAACTGGTCTGGTGACCACAGGTCCTTGGGTCAGGAGAAGACAGAGAAGGCGTTGGAGGGTGGCATGGAATTTCCACTCACCCTGATAATCCAGGGTCCCATGGCGTGGGCTCTGGTTAATTGGCATTTCTGCTTGCGTTTGAGAGCTGGAAGCTGGGTGCTGCTCCTGTTTGGGGCTGGATTTCCCAGAAGCCTCTGAGGCAGGGCCTCCCCAGGGGGGTCCAGTTATTGCAAGCAGCAGTGCTGTTCCTTATGCCTTCCCCTGTTGCGTCTGCCTCCTGCAGGACAATCAAAGTCCCTGACCACCCGGAGGCCCTGTGCTTCCAGATCCACGGAGCTGCCCAGCCCTTCGTCTATGCTGTGGGGAGAGGTGAGTGCAAACCTGGAAGACCTACAGCGGCCTTGGGGGACGGGGCGGGCCCTGTGGGGAGTTCGGAGCCACCAAACCTTGCTACCTGCCTCCGCCTGCTAGCGCACCGTTAGCATCTGTTTTCTCCACTTGGAGCCAAGATTTGCAAAAGAAAGTTACGAAGGGGAGGGGTGAGCAGAGTGGAAGACGACGGAGAGGTGCGGCCTGTGGGAGGTGGGAGAGCACTGTTCACTCTACAAAGGGTGGGCTGCTCTTCAGCTCATGCTCATGCTTCAGGCAGGAGTGTGCGCCTACTCTTGCCAGAAATGAGAATTTGGAGGCCCCCAAAACAGTCCTGTGGCCAGGTGGAACCGAGGGCCAGTGCCTGGAGCCTCTGCTCTGTGCATGACTTTCCCCTGCGTGCTGTTCGAGGGGTCAGCTCTGTCTCAGGAGCAAAGCCAGTGTTGTCTGCGGTGTTGGGCCCCCAAGCTCTTGACACCTGGAGTTCCGCTTTACATAGGAATTGCCCACTTTTGTGGTTTGAGTTGTATTTTTAATACCTGTTGGTTAAGAAAGTACCTGTCATATGAAGGCTACTGAGAATTTGATCACTTAGAGTAGGTTTGTATTTTATTTGTCCTGGGGGTCATCTTGCCCCCTCTCCAGAGGACATCTGGTAATGTCCAGAGACATTTATGCTTGTCACACTGGGGAGGGGCACATTGACATTTGGTGGCAGACCAGGGTGCTGCTGACATCCTGTAGTGCCCAGGATGCCCCCAGTGAGTCATAGGCCCCAAGAAGCAGCGGGGTTCTTGTTGCAGCCCCAGGTGTAGGTAGTGCCAGGGAGAGTCCCTGCCTTGGAGCAGCTGCAGAGATACTGCTGATCAGTCAGAACACATGTTCATAGTTGTGTTAATCTTCTCTCTGTTACTGTAACAACATATCTGAGACTATCAGCCCATAAAGAGGAAAGGTTTATGTATTTGGGCTCTGGTTTGGGGGTGGTTTAGTCATGGTCTACTGACCCTGTTGCTTTGGGCCTGTGGCGGGGCAACTCATCATGGTGGAAGCATGGAGTGGAGCAAAGCCAATCAGTGCTTGACTGGGAAGCAGAAGTGGAAAAGGAAGGGACTGGGGTCCCATTACCCCTTCAAGGGAGCACCCCCAGTGACTAAAGACCTCCCACTAGGCTCCACCTCTGAAAGTGTCCACCACTTCTCAATAGCACCAGGCTGGGGTCCAAGCCATTAACATGTGGGCCTTTGGGAGACATCTAGATCCATATCGTAGCAATTGTCCAGCCAGCCAATGTCAGAACGGTTGGTATTTCCTGGGCACTTACTGGTGCCAGGCTTGGTGCTAAATGTCACAGTATTAAATTAACTCCCTGGATCTCAAGAACCCTACAAGTGGGTTTTATTAGGGTCCCCATTTCGTAGATGAGGGAGCTGAGACCCAGAGAGGTTGAGTAACGTGCTGATGGTTGTGTGGTGGAGCCAGGGTTTGAAGCTCATGCCTTTGAGGCGCAGGGGCTGTCCTTGTCACCATTGCACAGGCCTGATTTTCTCCCGTATGGAGAAACAGCTTGGCATTTGTTTACAGATCTCACAGAGCCAGGGGTCCAAGACTCGCAGTTTGGGAATTGCAGTGAAGTTGCAAACACATGCACTTGGAGTCTCGGGGAACTTGTTGGAACCCTGGCTTCTCCTAGCTGTGTGACCATGATGGTCACTTTGGCCCTCGGAGCCCCAGTTTCCTTGTCCGCCACACGGGGCCCACCCTGACCCAGTTCCACAGGCTCATGCGGGACTTAGGGGTGGCGGGGTTCAGGGTGCAGCCTGCCTGGACTGGCCCCGCTCTCCTTGCTGGGTGGAGGTGCGGTCCTGGAGGGTATGTTTGAGGAGCTGGTGGGGACGGTGGTCACCTGGTTCGCTGGTTCCCTGCCTGTGCCCGCTGTGGCCCTGGCTCTCTGCCTGGCGCCCACCTCTGGCTCTCTGGCCCTCAGGCTCGGAGGCCATGGCTGCAGGGCTGTGTGCCGGTCAGTGCATCCTGAAGGTCAATGGCAACAATGTGACGAATGACAGTGCCCTCGAGGTCCTGGAGCACTTCCAGGCGTTCCGGAGCCACCGAGAGGAGGCCCTGGTGAGCAGCCCGGGGGCAGGGAGGCCCCCACAGTGGGGCTGGAGTGGGGTGAGAGCTGCCTCCCTCTCAGGAGGAGCCCAGGGGCACTCTGGTTGGGAGGTGCTGTGTGTAAGCTGGGCCTGTGCCTGGTGTTTCCCCAAACTGGAGGAGCTGGGCCTTGATCCCTCATGGCCTCAGTTTTCACTGCTTTGAAATGGGCACACGAGACCCTCTTTTCTTAGCACGTGGACACGCTGTGTCAACAGCCACGTTGCTGATAAAAATCATTGCCATTGGGTTAGGGTTGTGGTGGAGGGTGATGGCTATCCATCCGTCCAATCATTGTTTTGCTTAGTGCGTACTGAGCATCTACTATGTGCCAGACATGTTTCTTGGCCCTGGAGACACAGGAGAGATAAAGCATCTGCTCTTAGAGGTCTAATGTCTTCAAAGGCTCCCCGTCCCTTGGCTTCTGAGTGGAGCATAGACTGTCTGTGGTGAAGGCTGAGTGTGACTGGGGTCCTCAGGAAGGTTCCAGAGCGACATCTTGCAGGCCTCTCCCAGAGTGGTGTCATCAAGAGGCTCAAAGCCTGAGCTTTGGAGTCAGGGTGCAGTTGGCACCTGCCTTGCCTGGTGTGGTGGCCGTCCCTCTCATGCTGGCTCCCTTCAGGGCCTATTCCAGTGGGTCTACCGCTCCCACGAGGATGCCCAGCAGGCACGAGCCAACCAGGAGGTGCCTGGCGAGGACCCCAGAGGAGACGGGCCCCAGGAGGAAGATCAGCCGGATTCAGGTAAGGAGAAGGTGGCGGTGCCATGGAGCTTCTGAGGGACAGAGTTGTGGAGGGTCCTGGCCTGGTCGGGTCCGTGCCAGCCATCAGCGGTGCTCTTAGGGCTGCTCCGACAAAGTCCCCAAACCCAGGAGACTGACCAGCACATGCTCATCATCTCCAGCCTCCAGGAATGAGTCTCCCGGGGCTGACATCAAGGTGTCTGAGGGCTGCGTTCCTCCCTGGGGCTGTAGGGGAATCCGTTTCCTTGTCTGTCTCAGGTTCTAGAAGCTTTCAGCATCCCTTGGCTTGGGGCTCCGTTGCTGATTGGTGGCCCTGGCCTTGCTGGCCCACATCCCCTTTGCACTGATGTGTTTGGAACTCGCACAGTTCTGCCACCACCATCCCTACTTAAAGAGCTCGTGGTGAAATTGCCTGCACCCTGATAACCCAGACCTGAGAGCCGCCGCCCTGCAGCCTTCATGTCCTCTGCCACCTGGGTCCTCTTGGGCCTTGCGTGTTCTGCCCAGCACAGGGCCCGCGCTTACCCCTGTGCCTCCCTCAGCCCTGAGCTCCCGCCCATCTCCCGTCAGCTTCACCACCCCGCTGCTGTCCCCCCGGGGTCAGATCAGCGTGGCCCACGTGGAGCTCAGAGCCTCCCAGGTCCCGTCTCGTCTGTGCATCTCAGGAGTCTCTGACTCGTTTTCCCTCCCCACCCTGACACTTTGATTGCAGTAGCCCACCTCAGGACGCTACCTTCCTCCCTCCCGGAATCTGACCACTTCTGTCCCCTGCAACATACCTAGAAACATTGGCTCAAGAAACGAAAAAGTCTGGGTGGGCTCAACCTGGCCGGATTGTATCTTGAGGAGTCGCCTCCTTTCTCTCTGATTCCTGCCTCTGGGTTGGCTTCCTGCTTACACGGTGGCGCTGGCTGCTTGGAATCCTTGTGGGGAAGGGCCCGTCCCTCTGTAGGTCCAGCAGAAGCCCCAAGCCCGCCCTCTTGGCCCCTCTGGACCTTGGCGTCAGGGGCGGATGTGCGTGGGGCTTCAGCTCCCTGAGCCTCTCAGACCTGCATGGGGCACAGACAGAGCCAAGGTGGCTTCCAGGTCAGCAGCGACGCAGTGCCCCTCCTCAGCGTCCCTGCCTTTGCTCCCAGCCTTGCCGCTGCTGTCCTTGGGTCCCCACCTGAGCCTGCGTGAGGACAGCCCCGTGGTCAGCCTGACGGTGGACAATGTGCACCTGGAGCATGGCGTGGTGTACGAGTACGCGAGCACGGCAGGCGTCCGCTGTCACGTGCTGGAGAAGATTGTGGAGCCCCGCGGCTGCTTCAGCCTCACTGCCAAGGTCTCCAGGCCCTGCCTTGCCCTGCTCTGCTCTGCCCTGCCCAGGATGGGGATGGTTCCTCTTGCCAGGGGTGGGGACAGCTGCTTTCCATTTCCCTAGGGTCAGCCTGGGACTCTGAACGTGGTCCTTGCCCCCCGTTGGTAGCTGTGGAACTGAGGACAGTGAGTTATTGGCCTTGGTTTACTCATCTACCAAATGGGCCCACAACAGGCCTGGCCTCTGAGGGTATTGTGAGGCATACAGGAGCCCCCTGAGGTGACCTGGGATGATACCCTGGCCTGGGAACTGGAGGAGGGCTCAGCCGTGGTTGATGTTTCTGCAGATCCTCGATGCCTTTGCCGCTGATGATAACACCTTTGTGCAGAACTGCGGGCGCCTCATGGCCATGAGCAGCGCCATGGTGACCATGCCCCACTACGAGTTCCGAAACATCTGTGACACCAAGCTGGAGAGCATTGGCCAGAGGATCGCCCGGTACCGCCAGGTGCCTGCTCCCCGCGGGTGTCTGCCAGGGGATTCTGGGCACAGTGTCTCAGCCTGAAGTAATCAGGACAGTGAATGTCAGGCTGGAGGCCTTTCTGGCTCTTGGCTGTTGTCCTGTGCTGGCCCTGTGCCCGGGCGGGAGGGCTCTGGCCACCTGCAGCCTTAGCTGCCCCAAGCAGAAGTGAGTGCAGGCAGAGCTGGGCTGGGTGACAGGCCCGGCTGCCCACCCCTCAGGGTCCAGGCGGGGCCAGGTGAGCGGCCAGAGCTCAACAGCTACAGAGAGAAGAGGGGGTCCTCAGAGGCCGTCCCTGAGCCGGGCATGAGTGGCAGACCCTGCAGGATGGCCACTTCTCCACTGGAGCTGCTGACACTGTGTCCAGTTTCGGAACACCTGGCCCAGGCAGGATGTGGGGTACCAGGGACGCCAGAGTCCCCTGACCTGCTGCCTTCGCGTGTCAGTTTGCAGCCCAGCTGAGGGGCAGGGTCAGCCCAGCCTTCAAGCAGGCCGTCCTGGAGCCCCACCCGCTATGCAGCCTGGACTTCTGCCCCACCAACTGCCACATCAACCTCATGGAAGTGTCCTACCCCAAGACCACGCCCTCCATTGGCAGGTCCTTCAGCATCCGCTTCGGCCGCAAGCCCTCCCTCATCGGCCTCGACCCTGAGCAAGGTACCTGAGTGTGTCTGCTAGTGTGTCTTGCTGTACAGATACTAAAACTGAAAACTTAGGATGCTGTGTCCAAGGCTGGAGTGATGGCTTCATAGTCATCAGGGATCCAGGCTGCTTTGGTCCTCCTGCATCATCATCTCTAGATGGGCTTTCTAACTTTCAGAATGCCTCATAGCAGAACATAATTGCTGAAGTACCAACCATCATGTCTACATTCCAGGCAGGAAAAAAGACTCCCATGATTAAAATTATGTTAGCACCTCAACCACTGTGGAAATCAGTATGGAGATACCTTGGACTGGAAGTCCCATTTGACCCAGCTATTCCCCTGCTGGGTATCTTCCCCAAAGAATTAAAAGAATCATACCACAGTGATATATGTGCACCCATGTTTATAGCGGCACAGTTTGTAATAGCTAAAAGTTGGAAACAGCCCAAGTACCCATCGACTGGAGACTGGATAAAGAAAATGTGGTTTTTAAATAAAATGGAGTACCACTCAGCCATAAAAAATGAAAAATTAGAGACATTTATAGCTAAATGGATGCACATTGAGGGGATACTCTTAAGTGAAATAAATGGGACACACGTGTGTAAATACTGAATAGTTTCTCTAGTATGAGAAACTGAAAGTGTAAATAAGAACTAAAAGGTATAATAGACGATGTGAAATAGGAAGAAAAGGGGCAAAGGGGAAGGAAGTGGGAGGGGTAGGGGAAAGGATAGAAGGGAATGGAATTAATATGAGAAAAGGAAAAAATGGAAACAAAGTCTTTGTAAATAGGGAGGGGTGGAGGGGTTGAAGGGAGGGCAGGGGATTGGGGAAAAATAAGAACCAAGAAGAGATTCTGTAAATTCCAGTGATGAATGTCATTATATTGTATACCTTAAATGTACCAATAAAATTAAATTTAAAAAAACTATGTTAGCACCAAATGGGAATCTTCTTTTTGAGGCAATCTAGTGGATTAAGCGTACTGGAAAGGGAAACTTCTTATTTGTTAGAATTCTGGAAGTGGCTTTGTACTCTTGTGCCCACAGGCCGTGGGGGCTCTTTCTGAGTGAGCACTGCCCTCTTCCCCTGTAGGCCCCCTGAACCCCATGTCCTACACCCAGCACTGCATCACCACCATGGCCGCTCCCTCCTGGAAGTGTCTACCCGAGGATGGGGACCCCCAAGGCCAGGGTCTCAGTGACAGCAGCTGCGGGCCAGCCAGTGGGGCCCCGAGCCAGGAAGACCGAGGCCTGAGCTTCCTGCTCAAGCAGGAGGACCGAGAGATCCAGGATGCCTACCTGCAGCTCTTCACCAAGCTGGACGTGGCCCTGAAGGAGATGAAGCAGTACGTCACCCAGATCAACAGGTGAGGGTGAGGCCGCACTGGCCGGGACCAGCAGCGGGTGCCCCTTGGCCAGTCCACGTGGGGCTGTCCTGGCCTCCACTGCCAGGTCCCGGCAGAAGTCCCTGGGGGCGGAGTCACCCGACTGAGAGGCCACTCTGACAGAACAGTGGATGTGGGCAGTGATGCTGTGGCTGCTGGGGAAGGGCTGTGGGCCTTTGTACTCCCGACACCCCAGAGAGACGGCTGGACCCTGCGTCCGCTCTGCTGTGATACAGCAGGACACATGCGCAGCCGTGCTGCATGCACGCGCTTTCCGCCAGAACCACCTGATAAAAAATGCTTGTTATTAGCACATAGAGTGTGTTTTTGACACACAGTCTGCTCATCCTGGGGACTAAGACACATACATGTGGCATCTGGTTCCTTTTTTTTTTTTTTTTTGGTACCAGGGATCAAACTCGGGTCCTTGTGTTTGTGAGGCAGGCAGCAGCTCCACTGAGCCAAATCCCCAGCCCCAATCTGGGTCCTTTTGGATCCCTTGCGCGTCTGCCCCATCCTCAGACTTCGTGGAGAGGAACAGGGATCTGAGCTAATGCCTGTGACAGCCCTGAGTGGCACTGCTCAGCCACAGTCTGGGCGAGAGAACAGGTGACACCTGGGGCACACATTTGGCCGCATCCAGAGGGAGGGTGGTTCTGTAGGACGAATGGCCCCGTGCCTCTCACCAGTAGGTGGTGGGGAAGCAGGAGTCGGGAGAAAGAGAAGGGGCTGTTAGTGACTTGAGAGGCTCGAGAGACGTCAGTCAGAAGCTGTGTCTGGCGTGGGGACCTGTGCCCAACGGGCCACCTGGAGGAGATGCTTCCGACCCAGCCAGGGCCACCTGAGCACAGACTGGGTGCCAGGATGGTGCGGAGACGTTGCTGATGTTGTCTGGCACAGTGAGAGCGGGTGCTCCGTGTTTCTGCCTTCGTCCTGGTGACATTTAGGGTGGGTCATTCCGTGTGTGGGGCCGCCCTGGGCATGGCAGGGTGGATAGCAGCATCCCTGGCCCCCACCCCTTGGATACCATGGCGTCCCCACTCCCAGTGATGACAGCCTGGACCATTTCTAGACTTCGTCGGTGTCCCTGGTGGAGAAGCATGGGTTTAAAAGTATAGTCACGCATATATACTTACAGCTCACACAAATGGAAATGTTTACTGGGGAAAGGATGTGCTATCTTAGACTTGTTTTAAATACTTGAAAAAGAGAAAATGAAGGGAAAGATGGAGGAAGTGGGATGGCCACTGTGTTGCCCTGTACTGAAGCTGACTGCAAGGTGCCTGAAGTTCCTTGTACTCTTCCTCTTTTGTATATGGTAGAAATTTCCATGATTAAGGAAAAAAGGATATGGGCTCTGGAGCCAGGAGGCCCGAGTTCAGCCCTGAGCCTGTCAGTTATGAGCTGGGCAGTGTTGGGCAAGTCACCTGACCTCTCCGAGCCTTCGTTTTATCATCTGTAGAGTGGGAGCAGTCATGATACTGACCGCACTGAGATGCGATGGGATTAGGTTGGCCAGGGCTTATCGGTCACTTACACGACACCAGGCACTGTTCTAAACACTTTGTGTTTTAACTCTCTCCACCTTCACAGCAGATTAGGATGCACACGCTGACATTATCTCATTTTACAGATGAGGAACCTAATCTCAGATTCAATAATGTACTTTATGCCTCTAAGCTAGGAAATGGCAATAGCGCAGTGTTAGTATGGGTTTTGACTTCAGAACCTCTATCCTTCACTGTTACACTCTGTGGCTGTGGCCCATGGCCCAAATCCAGATTTCTGCCGGCTTTGTTTTTCTTGAAACACAGCCATGCCCATCTGCTTACATCCTGTCCATGGTGCTACCCTGCTGCAGTGGCAGAGTTGAGTGGTTGGGACTAAACACAACACACGGAGCCCATTTGCTCCCCGCCCCTCACACAGTGTCGCACCTCGAGTGCAGTGTGGAAAGTGCTGATAACTTGGCCAGGAATCAAGGGCATCTCACTCGCGACAGAGGTGCTGGTGGTGTTTTCAAGGGAGGGACACAAAACATGGGTAGCCCCCTCCATGTGGGGTCACGAGTTAGGGCCCTGGTGTGCTGTGGGCCTGCGTCCTTACCTTCAAGGCCTTTGTCCCCCGCAGGCTGCTGTCCACCATCACGGAGCCCACCTCGGCCGGGCCCTGTGACCCACCGTTGCCCGAGGAGGCCTCCCCGACCCCACTGGTCAGTGAGGAGGGCGAGACGGACAGGGCCGACCATGGGGGCATCAAGAAAGTGTGCTTCAAGGTGTCGGAGGAGGACCAAGAGGACTCGGGCCACGACACCATGAGCTACCGCGACTCCTACAGGTGCGTGAGCTGCGCGAGGCCGGCAGTTCCTGTGGTGGCCGGCGGGACTGTGGAGGCCACTGGGCTGGGGAAAGCCAGGATCGTGGGCCATCTCCAGGCTGCAGGGGTCCCTGGGGATCGTGCTCACAGTGTGTTCTGGGGTTAACTGAGCCCCCCAGAGCACACCCGGGAACATCACTCAGGAGGCCCTGCTCCAAAGCCAGCACTTCAGGACCCGGGCCTGGGACCCTTCATTCTGCGTCACTCCACAGGCTGATGGGGTGGCAGAGGAAAGGGCAGGGCTCTGCAGTGTGTTTTCAAACTCAGTTTCAGACATAGGGTAAACACTATTTTTACTTGACCCAAGGAATAAGATTGTTTTTTCTCTTAACTCTGAGAGGACCTGGATGGTATTTCTGCCGGTTAAATTAATCAAAACAAGGTCAACGGGATCTTAGTTAGCGGGTTAAATAGAGTAAAACTCAGTTTTATGTGATAAGCCATGTGGTGGGTAAGTAGAATTTTTACCACGAATACATGCACACTGGTCTCCAGCAGACAGTGCTGTGGTGAGATGAGATCTCAGTGGGACAAAACCCAGGCCCGACTGGGTTTGATGAAGATTGAGCCCTCCTGACCTCCATACTCTTTCAGTCTTTGAGGGATCCCACTGGTTCTTTGTACAGCTTTCCTGGCACCTGCCCAGTGGGATGTCTTGGAGCCTTGCGTCCATCCAAGATTTCTCTTCATCTTTGAGTTTTCATTCCTACCTTTTTGGGTCCTCTGTTTTTTCCTTTAATTGTCAGAAAGCTGAGGGAAAGAACCTGGGAATTGTGGCTTTTGGTTCCCTGGACCTTCTGAGTCCCTTTTGATTAAATGTGGCATGGGCAGGCCTGTCCTGGGCCAAGCTGAGGAGTGAGGTACACGGGAGCACTGGGGACCCTGGACAGTAGTGACACCCAAATGTTGCTGTCACTGTCCTCCGTCCTGATTGTAATGCTACCATCCTCCTCCTGTGGGTCTATGCAGGGCCTCCTAGTGTCCCCCACCCCAAGACACAGGAAACTGCCCGGGGCAGTTGTCTCCATGTCTGCCTGGGGCCCCCAGAGAGTGAGACCAGAGGTGTGCGCTGTACGCTGACTGCCTGTTTCTCACCCATTACAGTGAGTGTAACAGCAACCGGGATTCGGTCCTGTCCTACACCAGCGTGAGAAGCAACAGCTCCTATCTGGGCAGTGATGAGATGGGCTCTGGTGAGTGCAGTGAGCGCTCTTGGGAAAGTTCTGTCGTATTCGTATTTTGTTGCACCTCGTCTGCATTGTATTGTTTTGTATTACATTGCATCAAATTGCTCAATTGTTGCTGTCCATCCACTCATCCAACAACCCTGTGTCGAGCACTTGTTATGTGCTGGATGCTGGGTACACAGCAGTGGTTGGAATAAAGATCCCGGTCCTCATGAGAGTCACAGACAGTGAACAAATAAAAACACGCCTGGCGCAATTACTGGTGATTGCGTACGCTCATGCGTGACATGTGGATGTCACTCAGATCATGTGACCTGAGGGCTCCCGTGAAAATGGCACATGCTCAAGTCAGAAACCCTAACGACATAGGAAACTTCAAAGTAGTGCATAAAGAGAAACTACAATCTCGTCGTGTCCCCCAGAAGTGCCCATTGCTACTATTTGGAGGTCGTTAATGAGTACATATTTATACACACAGACATGTGGATGGGTGGATGGTTGGATAGAGAGACAGAAATAAATAATGTATTATAAATTAGATCACACTGTGCTTGCAGCTTTTACTGAAAGCCTGGCATCTATTTACTTCTTTTATTTTAGTTTTGTTTACTTCAGACTTTAAAAACTTCCCTTTGTGACAAGGTCATACATCTACATGGTTCACTACTCAAAAGGTGCAAGAGGGTGCTGAGTGACGAGTCCCCCACCTTGGCCCCCAGCCCCCTGCTTCTCAGGCTGTCATTCCTGTCCCTGTCACCCCATCTTGCGTCCTTCTGGAGGAGTCTGTGCATAAAAATTTAATTTTAATTATATGTCCATTTAAAAGAAGAAAAAAAAGCACCAGGAAAACAGAAGATATCGCTGAACTTTAGATAAATATTTCATCACATAAGATAGGCATCTGAGAAACTGTCCCGGGGAGGCTTTGGGAAGAGGCCTATGTGCTGCATCTGATTGAATTGGAACTGCTGGGCGGTGGGTGAGTCAGGATCCCTGGGCACCAATCCCTGCTGTCTGGTTCTGTTTCATTTGCCGGATGGAAAGAACAGCAGTGACTCACAGTCTTGTGGTGCCTTAGTGGCTTGGCTGTTGCCCATTTTGCGGATGAGGAAACTGAGGCTTAGAGAGATCATGGGATTTGCTCAGTGACCTGGGTCTGTCACGCTCCCCACCCCTCTGGGTTTGGGGCTCTGTAGTCCTGTTGCATCCTGGAGAAAGGGGTTGGGAAGATGCCAGGTGGAGTAGCCATGGCTGATGGCTGCAGTCCCTGCCTTCTGCCAGGGGATGAGCTGCCCTGTGACATGCGCATCCCGTCGGACAAGCAGGACAAACTTCACGGCTGCCTGGAGCATCTCTTTAACCAGGTAGGCCCTCTCTCCCACCTGGCATGGCCCTGGGTCCCTCCTGTCATCCCTAACAGAGCCTGGGACACCAGAGCTGGAGCGAGGGCTGTGGGCCACAGGTCCCAGCAGTCAGAGGTCTGTGGGGACCGCGCCCAGCCTGGTGCTTCTTGCTGCCCAGGTGGACTCCATCAACACGCTGCTCAAGGGGCCTGTCATGAGCCGGGCGTTTGAAGAGACCAAGCATTTCCCCATGGAGCACAGCTTACAAGGTGAGGGATGGCGCGGGACACTGGTTACACTCTTGGCCTGCGGGATGGCTCTGAACTAGTCCAGTCAGTGGTTCCGGCCTGTGGACCAGATCTGGCCCGCTGCCTGTTTTTGTCTCTGGGCTGAGGATGGTTATTTCATTTTTAAAGAATTACAAAAACAAAGCAAATAAAGAACAAGGAAGAATATGTCAGAGACCCAGGCCCTGCAGAGCCTCACACAGTTACTCTCCCTGGCTCTTCGTGGAGGTGGTCTGTGGCCTTGGGCTGGTCCCTGGACCTCCTGGCCAGCCCATCGGTGACATGAGCGGAAGGCCTGGAGCAGTTTTCCTGACCTCAGAGGTCCCATCATCCATCACCCAGGCCACAGAACCTACTTACATCTTCACTTTTTTTTTTTTTTTTTTTTTTTTGTGATACTAGGGATCAAACTCGGGACCTTGCACTTGTAAGGCAGGCAGCAGAACCACTGAGCTAAATCCCTGGCCCACATCTTCACATTTTTTAACCACACTCATTTGACATAGTTTTGTCCCTTTTAGAAATTTGATTTTGAAAACACCTTCTTAAACTCCTTTGATGAGAAGCTAGTATGACGTTCCATAAATTGTTAATAAACCATTATAATAAATGCAATGGGAACAATGTTATCACACTGTGATTAGGCACTTTGCCTGCCCCGGGCCTTTTGATCCTATTCAAGAGAGTGGTTCTCAAGTGAAAGAAACCTTAAAGCCTCAGTAGCACTACACTCTTTCTTCTTGAAGTGATTGGGAGGAGAAAATAGAAATTTCTGAAGTCCTCCCACCCACCTTTGTCCCATTTACCCATTTACTTCCACTCCCCGTCTGCCCACCATCCACTCATCCACTGCCTGCTCCTCCATCTGCTCCCCTGCCATCTACCCATGCATCTCTGTGCCCAGCAAGTGATGCCCCAGAGCTCGTGCCAGGCCTGTGCTGGGCACTGGTGACTGAGATGGAACAATGCTGTGTGCAGGAGATAGGATGCGGTCAGGCAGCTGCCTTTAAGCTGCCTCTGAGCAGGACAGGGGGTGCCAAGAAGTTGGGGCTCCACTCGGCAGCTCCCTCTGAGCACTTCCCCAGGGAAGGACCCCAGAAACCGGAAATGGTAGGGAGGGACCAACAACAGACACCTCAGGAATCTGTGAAGGGGTTCACAGGACAAAGACCTGTGTCTGTCTGGCCTTTGAATGGTCCTGCTGGGGCCAGATCCATACCCATCTGTGTGACTTTAGACAGGTCACTTTCTCATTCTGTGCCTGGGATTCCTCTTCTGTGTAAAGAAGGTGTTACATGAGGTGCCAGCTCATCTGGCTGTGGCAGTAAGGAGTTAGCACCTGAGAAGACTTCTCTGGGTATGGCCTGCAGGTCTAGAAGAAAGGGATGCTGTGATTGGTTTGTAATGTCTGCACTGGATTGGTTGTAGCTGTTAGAAGTCATACTGTGTGTGGTCTCAGGCTAGCAGGAAGGAGCACTGAGATCAATTAGTGATGTTTGCCATGAGTGCAGTACTAGGAAGCAGTCACACACTTACCATGTTCGCCCTCCATGGACCAGGTAACAGCCAAGAGTCCTGCCAGCTCCCTTCATCTAGGGTAACGAGCTTTGGAATCTGGTGACAGGGCATAGGCCATTGTGCCACTGTTCTCCAAAGCCACTTCTGTCCCTTCCCTGGCCCTCATGCCACTTTCCTGCCCCAGAGTTCAAACAGAAGGAAGAGTGTACCATCCGTGGCCGGAGCTTGATACAGATCAGCATCCAGGAGGACCCCTGGAACCTCCCCAACTCCATCAAGACCCTCGTGGACAACATCCAGCGATATGTGGAAGGTCAGTGGGTGGGGAGATGTCCTGCCAAGGTTCGTGGCTGTGGATGTGGACTGTGACCGACCCTGGTTGGGCCCATCTCAGGCCCCATGTATCCACTGCCAGGGGTAGGGTAGGAACAGCAAGTGTCCATCCTCAGCTGAGGTCTTGCCCCTGAGGTAGAAGTCTGTGTGACCTAGTAATGTCCTGCTTTCCAAACGTGAAATTGGTTAAGGGTGTGGACTCTGGGCCAGATTGCCAGGGCTTGCATCCCATCTCCCCCACTGCTGGCTGTGTGATCTTGCCATGTTTCTTGACCTCTCTGGGCCTTTCTTTCATCACTCTCCCTTGATGTTGTTGAGGATAAATGAATCAGTACAAAGCAAGGCCTTTGGACACTGCCTACCACTGGCTCATCCTCAGTGGGTGGGTGTCCTGCACCTGCTCTTGCTGTTACCACGCCAGCCCCAGGTGCCTCTCACATGGCTTCTAGAAATGGCCTCATGCTTGAAGGTCCTTCAGATCTTTCTTGCAAGACTTTTCAGGGTCGTAGAGCATCTCTGAAGGAAGATGGCTGAGTTTGGCTCTCTGAGGAGGAAGTGAGAGCCTGAGGGTGGGGCTGTGACTTGTGCTGGTTTTAATCTCTTCAGTGGGGACAAGGGGACAGATAATGCTGCCAGGTGGGCTCCACTCCCTGTATGCCCGGGGCTCCCTGGAATTCACCCATGCTCAGTAAAAGCTCTCCGGGAGGCCCAGCTTTAGCTTAGCCAGAGCGCCTGTGTGGCCGCAGAGCCAGTCCGTCGCTGCCGGTTCAGTTATCTCCTCTCCACTCCATTCTCCTCCTTCCAGATGGGAAGAACCAGCTGCTTCTGGCCCTGCTCAAGTGCACAGGTGAGACTCCGAAGGGGCAACTGTGGCCACATGTGCCACATGCACCCAGGTGTGCCCCGCAGAGGCCCTGGCAGTGGGTGTTGGGGACCCCTGCCCAGGAGGCCTCTTGAGCTGGCCATGGTTGGCTCTTCCATGGCCTGTCAGGCCCTGCACTGGGGAGCACAGCCATGCCTTCCCCTGGTGCCCAAGGGACTAGGACATGGGGTGAGGGCTGAGGATGGCAAGGCTCGTTGTCACAGAGCCCCGGTCCTGGCAGGCACTGGAGGATGGGGCTGCAGGGGCCTGGGCGTCCTGGAGAGTCCTCTGTCCCTCACCTCCCAGAAACTCTCAGCCAAGGGGAGCTACAGTAAGACCGAGGTCACAGTAGGTCACTGAAAACCAGTTGGCCAGAAGCCATTGTTTTGTGGACAATAATCCTTCCGAAAGGCCGGGGCTCTGAATGGCGGACTGGCTGAAACTGGCTGGTTCTGCGGCCCATGTGGGAGTCAGGGACAGGGCAGGGAGGAAGCTGGGTGGGGAGAGAATGCCGTTCTCCGGCATGGAGAGTGGCCCGGTGCCTTCCTAGCGTGGCTTCGCTGGCATCCAGTGGCCCGCGTTCAGGGCGGCTTGGGAAAGGCCGTTGTTTCCTGAGGTGGGAGATGGTTGTGCTGAGAGAGGTGTGGCTTGGGCACACTGGCTGCTGGTGGAGCGTTGCTTTTTGCAGAACTGTCTTGGCAGCCAGGGTGTCCACTGAGATTGAATTTGGGGCCCTTTGCGGGGGTGGCAGAGCTGTGGGCCTGGGTCTGGGTGTGGCCTGCTGATGCTGAGGAGCACGTGCCCACCGAGCCCCCTGCATCTCCAGATGCCGAGCTGCAGCTGCGCCGGGACGCCATCTTCTGCCAGGCACTGGTGGCTGCTGTGTGCACCTTCTCCGAGCAGCTACTGGCTGCCCTCAGCTACCGCTACAACAACAACGGCGAGTATGAGGAGAGCAGCCGCGATGCCAGCCGCAAGTGGCTGGAGCAGGTGGCGGCCACGGGGGTCCTGCTGCACTGCCAGTCCCTGCTCTCGCCAGCTGCTGTGGTGAGTGAGTGAGTGGCAGGGCCTCGTGGGCCACCTGCTGTGTCCCTGTGGGCAGAGAGGCACCCCTGCCTCAGCTCCGCTGGCCGAGTCTTTCATGTGGTAGCTGTTTCCTGAGCACCTACTGTGTACTGCCGTTAGTGGAATTGGGGCCTGTTGGCAAACAAAGCAGAGTCCTTCCACCCAGGGACCTTACGTCCTGGTTGGTGGGAGTGAGAACTGAACAGATCAGTAGACTAGTGACTCTCAGGCAAGGACAGCTTTACCCTCCAGGGACCTTGGCAACATCTGGAGGTTTCAGTTGTGTCGGAGCTGGGGGCTGGGAGAGGAGGGACTGTAACCGGTGCCCAGTGTGGAGAGGCCAGGGAGGGCCCTTACGCATCCTGCAAGGGCCCCCAGTACGAGTGTCTATGGTTATGGGCCACTGTGGAGGCCCAGCTGGGGGCTGGAGAGAAGCACGGCCTCACAGCGCCCTCTGCTGACCACCACTGTGACAGGTGAGTGCCTGACTGGAGATCAGTTTTCCCTGAGCTCACAGGAAGCACAACCTGGGCCCAGAAAGGCTGCTGGATCCTAGCTCTTGCAGTCCCCTTCTTAGAGCTGGACACTAGTGTGTGTGTGTGTGGCTCACCATCTGGCTGGGGGAGCAGACAGGAGGAAAGGTGGGTGGAGGCAGGCAGGGAAGTGAGGCAGAGCAATCAGAAGGCTGGGGAGGCCTGGGATTTAAGTGGCAGAGCCAGCCTTGCAGCCACGACCTTTGCTAGCCAGGTGAAGCGGGGCCAGAGGGCTCAGGCACTGGGTGGGAGATGAGGTTGGTGGGGCCAGAGCTGTGGGGCTGGGCTCCATCCTGTGCCAGAGGAGGGCTTGGAGGCACCAAGGCGGGCGAGTAATGTGACTAGGGCTGAGTTTTTAAAAGAGAGCTTCGAGTTGGCACGGGGAGGGCTGGAGGGAAAGGATGGCGGGAGGGGGCCCTCCAGCGTGGGCCTGGTGAGATCCCTGGATTTGGGTGCTGGCCAGGAGCTGGTGGCTGGCGTGTGGGGCTGGAGAATGCCCTGTGGGCCCTCCTGTTGCACAGGTCATGGCTCATGCACAGGGTGAGGGAACAGAGAAACAGGAAAGCCCTTGATGTTTGGAGCTGGGAGAGATAGGATGGAAGGTGGGCGGTAAGGAAGGAAGTAGAGACTGGTATTTGGTTGGGTTGGGTTAGAAGTGGATGCATTAATAGCCAGCTGTGGTGGTCCCAGTACAGCAGGAAGTGGTTTTACTGGGGCCACTGAGCACATCAGAGTGGAGGTGGGTTTGGACCCTTGGAGGTACAGGACAGCCACAGAGCAGCCATGATTGCATGTGCAGAACCACACTCAGGGCCTGGCATCTCATGGCCCTCGGCCAGGTTCTAGAGCTGGGTCACAGGATGTTGAAGCGAAAGCCCAGGGCATGGCTGGCACCTGAGCCACTGTGTCTTCTTCCTGCAGAAGGAGGAACGGACCATGCTGGAGGACATCTGGGTGACCCTGTCAGAGCTAGACAACGTCACCTTCTCCTTTAAGCAGCTGGACGAGAACTATGTGGCCAGTGAGTGATGCCTCTCACCCCTGCATTTGGGGGTCTCAAGGGGGAGAGGCTGCCTGACCCTGCCCTGCCTCCAGGGCAGCTGTTTAGGGTTGACCAGACCAGCACCGCCAGCCCCACGGTCCCAACAGGAGTCTCAGAGCTGACCTTCAGGGTCCATGTGGAAGAAGCTTCTTATTGAAACCCAGTCATTGCACACAGCTCGTAAGAGAAGCACAGTCCATTCTTCGTAACACTTTGCCCAGAAGATGTCTTTCTTTGGGGTGAACACTTGTTTGGATTTTTAAGGGCTTATAGCATAATTAGCTAGGATTCTGTAGTCTTTTCTTCGCTCCCACATTTCCTCCCACTCCCACCTATTCATCCATCCACCCTTCCACATCCATTCATCCATCTGTCCATCCACCCATCCATCCATCCATCCACCCTTCCACATCCACCCACCCATCCATCTACTCTTCCATATCCATTCATCCATTCACCCCTCTACCCACCCATCCACCCATCCATCTATCCATCCACCCTCCCATCTACCCATCCATCTGTCCATCCACCCATCCACCCACATGTCCATCTGACTACCCATCTACGCATGCATCCAGAACAAGGAGCACATGATTTGCATCCAGCAGTTTTGGGTTTTGGCCCCAGCGTCAGGCTTCTGGCCTCCTGGAGCAACAATCTAGCCTAGTGGGTCTCATTCTGGTTACACTCCAGAATCATCTGGGGAGCTGTTCCAAGATACTGAGCCCCCATCCCTGGCCATATCGACTCAGTGTAGGGGCTGGGCTGGGCCCTGGGTCCTGGCCATGTATGGGCAAGAACCCTGGGCTGGCTTCCTACACAGTGCTGTTCCCGGTGTGGCTCCTGGGCCAGCAGCAGCTGGGAATTGGCTGGAAAGAGTGGTTCTCAGACCCCCACCCAGACCTCTGGGGCAGAGCCTAGGCATCTGTGTGCCACAGCCCCATCCAGGGGACCCCGAAGCTCAGAGTCTGAGGAGCACTGCTCCAGAACATGCTTTTCGTCTTCATTTCACTTCGCCAAAAGCACTGTTAGAAGCTGGGTGTGGTGATGCACGCAGAAGTCCCAGCAGTCTGGGAGGCTGAGGCAGGAGGATTGTGGGTTTAGTGACTTAGCAAGACCCTTTCTCAAAATAAAAAACAAAAAAGGGCTGGGGGTGTAGCTCAGTGCCATGGCCCTGGCTTCTATCCCCAGTACCGCTTACACTTACACACTCACACACACACACACACAGAAACTCCAAAACCATTTTTTCCTAATTGCCATATTGCCTTGAATTTTTTTTGGTACCCGGGATCAAACTCAGGACCTTGTGCTTTCGAGGCAGGCTTGGTGCCACTGAGCTAGAGCCCTGGCCCTGCCTTGAAATTTTAATGCTACCAGTATCCTATGTGTCTTTTATGTACCGTGCATCTGTGCTTTTTATGTAAAAAGAGTAAGTTTTTTTTCCCATACTCTCCCTCAAGAACCAATTTTCACCTGCTTGGGGCCTTGTCACCCCAGCTGAGAATGTGCAGACTGCAGTCTGGGGCGGGCAGGTTCCTTTATTAGGCCCCCGTTTGAGCTGACAGCAGGAACTGCCTGGCTGTGGGCTGAGCTGGGTCCAGGGAGAAACACTGATCAATTAGTAATGCCTGGCAGGACACAGGATGGGGTCTGAGTGCTGTGACTGCTGGCCCTGGCCGAAGCCCATCTGAATGGGTGCAGATAAGATGCAGGCCCCCTGAGCGTGGCTTTTGTCCGGTGGGCCCCTGACAGGGAAGGAGCACCCTGGGCTCTGCAGACACAGGCTGCCGTCTGTCCTCCTGGGCAGCGGGCCGTGGAAAGGACCTGCGGCAGCAGGCGAAGGGAGGGCAGAGGGTGCTCTTCCGGGTGTGGGACGTCTGAGGCTACCCTCTAGGGTAGGGGAGCAAGCGGATCCCACAGTGCACCTCGAGGCAGGGAAGACCAGGGGTCTGGGGCTGCCCTCTCAGGTGGGGTGACAGGGAAGGCCCAGGAAGCCTCTGGAAGGGAGGGCTCCTCCCCTCGGGCCTTTGGGCTGAGCACGGTTCCCCCTTGTGCCCTGCAGACACCAGCGTCTTCTATCACATTGAGGGCAGCCGGCAGGCGCTGAAGGTGGTCTTCTACCTTGACAGCCACCACTTCTCCAAGCTGCCGTCCCGCCTGGAGAGCGGCGCCAGCCTCCGGCTGCACACGGTGCTCTTCACAAAAGGTGAGCTTCGGGTCTGGGGGAACCCCGGGGGGCCTGGGCAAGGCTGCTGAGCACCTGGGGACCCCGCCCCCTGCCCTCGCTCCTCTTCCCTCAGCTCTGGAGAGTGTGGAGGGGCCTCTGCCTCCAGGCAGCCAGGTGGGGGAAGACCTGCAGCAGGAGATCAACGCGCAGTCCCTGGAGAAGGTCCAGCAGTACTACCGCAAGCTCAGGTACGCCAGGTCATGGCGGGCGCGGGAGTCGGGAGGCCAGTGCCCTGTGCAGGACAGCACGCCAGGGACCACAGGCAGTGGGGGGCGTGGGCCGAGACCCTTTCTGAGCACCTCCTGTGTGCCGGGCCCTTGGCCTGCATGGGAGTCTCACAGCCGTGTGCACAGCAGGCCGTGCTAACCCACTCACAGGAGGGAAGCCGATTCCCAGGGAGCCCCCCGGCCACACAGCCTGGCAGCGGCTGAGCTTTGGCTCCCAGTCTGCTTGGCTTCAGAGCTGGTCCTCTCTGCCGAGCCCGGCTGCTTCTCTCAATCCAAGCGGGGGTCAGAGCCGGGAGGGGGGTCGGGGCCTGGGACTCCTGGTCTTGAGAAAGGGATGTGGCTCCTGGGCCTTGTCCACGAGGAGGAGTGGGAAAACAGCCAGCAGATTTTGCCAGCGTGGAGCACAGACCCGGGGCAGCTTGTGAGTTCTCCAGCCCCTGCTCCCATGCCCCTCTGCCACAGCCCCCGAGCCTGCCCCTCCCGAGCCTGTTCCGTGACCCCGGGGACCCAGGGAGGCTGAGGACTAGGGGATGGATTGGTGTGAGGAAGGCGTTATCCTCCATTTGGAAACAGGAGAAAGATGCTTCTGTCCAAGTGCTGGCAAGAGCACCCAGCCACAGGACTTCAAACTGGCACCTGTTTGACCAACACTGTTGATCTGTTCTGTGCCATCTGCTTGAATGATCATTTGTTCACCCCTTCGTTCATTCAATATGTTCAAGAGGTCTTCTGTGGGCCGCATGCTGGCTGGATGCTTGCGTGGAAATCAGCAGGCAGCAAAACAAGTCCTGTTTTATCTGGCCCATGCCCTGTCTTGCAAATAAAGTTTTATTAGCACACAAGCACATTCATTGACATCATCTGGCTGAGTTGAGCGGGGATGCAGACTCTGGTTCCCAGGCCCCAAGAGCTCACTGTTTGGCCAGATAACAGCTTGCTGACCCTGACACCACACTGCTGTATCTGCCCAGGCGGTGCTGTGCTCAGAGGGGAGGCAGGCTGGGCTGGAGAGGAGGAGAGGTGGGGTTGGAGGAGCTGCCCCGCCCGGTGCTCTCCGTGGTTTCTTGGGCTGTGGCTGCAGCAGCTGCGACATGGGTAGGGGCAGAGAGCACGGTGTGGCCCCTCTCAGCCCCAGCTTTCTCTCTCAGGGCGTTTTACCTGGAACGGTCTAACCTGCCCACGGACGCCAGCACCACAGCAGTGAAGATAGACCAGGTGCGTCCCTGTGCCCTGAAGCCTGGGCTGGCGGTGGGGTTCTCGGGGGAGAAGCCCCAGGCTCCCCCTCCAGGAAGTCTCCCGGGATGGCTCCCGAAGTGAGAATGCCTTATTAGATGATTGTTTCCCCACTCCCGCCTGTGCCTCTCTCCTTAACCCTCGTTGGCGTCAGGGTTTCTCAGGTTAGAGTCACAACCCCCCCAGGCCAGGTGGGGTCCATGCCATGTTCTTTATGTTTGCTTCTGATGTGTTGCCAAGATTTAGAAATCGAAAGGTTCCCCCCAAAATGGAAACTTCATTTTCCTGGGCAAATGGACAGATCTGGCTGTGGGGTCCACATTCCCAGGCCTTGCAGCTGCCTCTGCTGCCCTGTGGAGCCGCCTGGGCACCCCACACCACGTGGTCCTGGGCCTCCTGCTTTCCCAGGCTCTCACGGGCTGTGACTCTGACACTGGTTTTGGTGTGCCGGCCTTGGGGTTTGGAGGCTGGGGCTTTGAGAGAGGTGGCAGCTTCAAGCCTCTGGGATATTTGGCAGAATGTCACTGTGGACAGTCCGTGAGCCTCCACATGGTGGTCAGGGAAGGCTTGTCTTGGGGAGGGGCAGCTTGAGCTGATCATGTCAGGTATAGGTTTGGAGAGGCAAGAGGGCCCCTGTTCAGGCTTTGGTGGGAACACATCTGCAGATGAAGAGGTAAATCAGAAGGTTGGACATGTGGTGGATCCTGAACACCAGCTGGTAGGGCAGTGGGGAGCCACAGATGGTTCTTGAGCAGAGATTGTAGCAGTTAATTGGATTGTAAGCCTTAGAGAGGGGAGCTGGGAGGACAGGTGCAGTAGCAGAGCTGAGTGAGAAGGATGAAGGGGAGGAAGTTGGTGGGGGCCTCGGGTTGGTGGGGTCCCCCTGACCTTCTGGGCATTGGTTGTGCACCTTGCAGCTGATCCGCCCCATCAATGCCCTGGACGAACTGTGCCGCCTCATGAAGTCCTTCATCCACCCCAAGCCTGGAGCTGCTGGGAGCCTGGGTGCCGGCCTCATCCCTGTCTCCTCGGAGCTCTGCTACCGCCTGGGGGCCTGCCAGATCACCATGTGCGGCACAGGCATGCAGAGGTGAGCCAGGGGTGTGTGTGTCTGGGCTGGGAGTGCTTCCGGGAAGTGCAGGTACCCAGGACAAAGTGGCAGGAAGGCTGTGTTCAAATCCAGGTCCTGCCCCTGTCTGCTGGACCCAGACAAGGCCTTGGCCCTCCGGACCTCAGTTTTTCTGTCTGTGAAATGGGCGGCCAGTGGTCGTCGGCCCAGGAGGCTGCAGGCCCAGGTCACTGTGTGGCCCTTTGTGTAGCGCTGACGATACCTGGCTCAGCTCCATAGTGCAGAGCGGGCCACCTGGCCCCGGGCCCCTTCTCCCTTCCCCCTTCCGTCCTCAGCCCTGCTGCTTGTCCTAGGGAGAAAGAGGCCACCTTTCCCCCAGGCCCGGCCTCCCTGCCTAAAGCCCTCCCTCCCTGCGGAGCCCACGATGGGGCTCTGTCTGCCTACGTTGTCCATACTGTAGTGTGGTCCCTGCTTCATAGTTAGGGAAACCAAGGCACAGAGAGATGGACTCGTCTGTCCAAGCTCACAGAGCAGTGAGGTGGAGGTCTGGGGGCTGGGACTGCTCAGAACAGAAGTGGGCCAGGGCCCAGCGTGTCCATCTCAGGCACCTCCAGGCCTCCAGGAAGTCGCTGCACAGCCACTTGGCACAGGTTTCCCGGGTCCTCCCTGACCGAGGTGCTGGGGCCCCAGGAGCCCCACAAAGCCCCTGCCACTTGGTGCTGCCTCCCGGGGTGCAGACGGCTTAGAAGTTGGTACCTAGGGGTGGCAGTGGCTGGCGGGAGGAGAGCGGCAGGGATGTGGAGGGACAGGCCAGAGTGGCCTCCCTGACTGACCGAGGACACTGGGGAGCCGCTGCAGCCCTTCCCCGGCAGGGGTGGGAGGAGGTGGCCCCACCCTGTGCCACTCCACCTGGCCCCATCCTTCACCCCCACAGAAGCACCCTGAGTGTCTCCCTGGAGCAGGCGGCCATCCTGGCGCGGAGCCACGGGCTGCTGCCCAAGTGCATCATGCAGGCCACGGACATCATGCGGAAGCAGGTGAGGCCCGGCCAGGCACCGTGGCCCAGGAATGGTGCCAGGCGGGGTGCCGCCGTCCTGGAACTCCGTCCCCACGCTTCCCAGGTGCCCTGATGTCCTGGAGGCCCCAGGCCTGATGCCTCTTCCTTTCCAGGGCCCCAGAGTGGAGATTCTGGGCAAAAACCTCCGAGTGAAGGATCAGATGCCCCAGGGTGCACCTCGGTGAGTGGCTGCCCTGTCCCTTCCCTCTGGGAAGCCAGGACCAGGCCTGGGTTGGGCATCCGACTCCAGGTCTACCCCAGGTGCCCCCTGGTGCTCTGATGAGGCCCCACCTCTGATTTATGGACCTTGGCTTTGGGGAGCCACAAATATGGCTCAGGCCAGTACCCACCCTCCCCAGGGAACCCCCACTTTGGCTGGGGGGACCAAGCAACATCTCCAGTGTGAGCCATGGGGTGGCTGATCGGTGGGTCCCCTCCACCTGACCATGCCCTGCCACATGGACCCACTGGTGTCCCCTGCCGTCGCTGTGTTTTGTTTCAACACCCTGGCAGGGTCCTGTGGTACCTCAGCTTCTTTCACTCTGTCCCTTTTTGCCCAGTGAGTTTGCCATCAATATCTAACTACAGGTTTTAATTAACTTTTTTATTTTCAAATAGTTTAATGCACAGGAAGTTCCAAAAATAATACAGTTAAGTTACAAACTTTACAGGTGTGCTGTACTGTGAGACTCACTCTGTTGGTTTATGAACGAATCTGACTTAGGAACACTTCTCCTGGAATGGTGTTCATAAGTTGGGGCTGTACAGAGAGCCAGGCGTGGTGGTGGACACCCAAGATCCTAGCACTCAGGAGGCCGAGACAGCAGGATCACGAGTGTGAGGCCAGCCTGGGCTACACAGTGAGATCCTGTCTCCAAACCCCCCAGACAAACAACAAAATAAAAACAAAAGCAAAGCAGGACAGAGTCCCATGTGCCCTCAGGCAGCTTTCCCCAGCCCTGACTGTCAAGGCCAGGACGCTGCCCTTGGTGTGATGCCGGGGACTCCCGGCCTGCCTAGGTCTCCCCAGTTTTCATGTGACCTCATTTGCCCGAGACTCTTTATTACTTTCATCACATTTACCCCACTGCAGGCACTGTGCCAGTCGCTACCCATGGGAACCCATTTGACCCAAACAACCCATCGGCAGCTGGGGACACAGGTCCAAGAGTGTCCAAGGCCACAGAGCCGGGCTTCTGAGCCCAGGCAGCCCCGGCCTAACTACTAGGTCACTGCATGGCTCTGCTTGCCTCTGAGGGGAAGAGCCTGCCTCGGGCAGGGGACTGGGCAGCAGGGGGATTTTCCATCTTTTTATATCTAGTGAGCTTTTGGGTTCTGGCATGAATTACCCATTCAAATAACAGTGGAAATAATAATGCTGAGTGCCTTCTGCCGCCTGGGCCCCCTCATCCTCTGCTTCCGCCTCCAGGCTCTACCGCCTGTGCCAGCCTCCGGCGGACGGGGACCTCTGACGTGGACCTGGTTGCGTGCGGGGTGCGGGAGGACACAGTGGGCTGCGCCCCTCCGACAGAGCCACCTGCGGCTTCTGCCCTGGCCGCTCCGCTCTGCTCGGCTCCGGCTTCCTGCACTCTGCACTGCCTCCTTCCAGGACACGCCTGCGCCCCTGCGCCCCCACGTCTGGCTCATCTGCCCGGGCAGCATGATCTCCGCCCTCCTGCCAGAGGCCCGAGGGGTCTGGGGACCCACAGGGCTCATGGGTTGGAGCGGGGGCCTGGACTTCAGCCCTGCAGGTCCCACAGGGGACGGAGGGGAGGTCACAGGGCGCCCCAGCTCCCTGGGATGGCGCAGCCTGCACTTTTGAACCCCAGGTCCACATTCCAGGAGGCCACATGCTCTCCTCAGCTTCCAGAGCACCAGCCCCGTACTAACCCGCCCGGGAGACGGGAAAGCCAGGGCCTTGTCAGGAAGGACCGAGGGACGGGGCGCAGTCAACCAGAGGACGTCACTCACTGCCGCCGGAACTCGGCCTCAGCCCTGGGCGAGACTCGCTCTGACTTTATTTATATGGCGTGACATCTCTGCGGTTTATATTTTGGGTTTTTTTGTTGTCAAGATTTTTTTCTAAGTTGTATGATTATATATTTGACATTTTAAATTTCAAAGAGAGGTAAATTGTCTAACAGGACCAACATAAGGTAGTATTGACAACTTTACCCAGTTCTACTAAAAAAAAAAAAAAAGAACTAAATTATTGAAAATTTTTAAAATGTCAGTATTTTCTCTTTTTTAATATTAGGGTCATAAGTATTGCTCACAGGTATTGACTGATTCCTTCTCTGCCCACCCTCGATTCTCCGGCATTTGCTCGGTTTGGGGGCTCTGCTCTGGACGGTGGCTGCAAGGATTTGAGAGGCGGCCTGGCTAAGGCTGGGGACCAGGGCTGCTGAGCCCCCTGCCTGAGAAGCATCCTGCACAGGTTGGGGGGCACTGGGGCCACCTGGTGGTGGACTCTGTAATTTATTTTTTGGTGTTAACTTCTCAGAGCTGGGCACAGGGACCCCTCGGCCAGAGAGACAGGAAGTGGCCCTGCCCTCCTGGGCACAGGGACCCATACGAGGACCCCAGCCTCTACATCTCCAGGGAAAGATGGCAGAGGAGGAAGGGAGGGGATGTTTTGTCACCCTGGCTGGGGACGTGGGGTGTGGGGCTCCTGCTGAGGCATCTTCGTCCCCTCGGCCCCCAGGGACCACGCCTCTCGCCACCATGCAAAAGATTCCAAGAGGTGGCTTTGTCGCTGTATCTCACTGCAGGTAGAAAACCAAGGACCCGCTTTAGCCCTGCCGAGGGACATGGAGAAGGGCCCTAAGGGCCAGGGCGTCGTGCACTGGTTTACTTTAAAATGTACAGATTCTTCTTGTTAAATACCTGATAGATTTTTTATTATTATTAAAGTCAGTTTATAATACAAAGAAGGAGGCTACGATCTGCTTGTCTCTGGTGAGTGGCGTGTGTGGTTCTGATGGTTCCGATGGTCCTGGTGGTTTGGGTCTCTACTGTCAGGGTCCTTGAGCCAGTGGCCCCTGAACCGGTGATGTCACCACTCTGTGCCTCAGTTTGGTCCTTAATAATGGGAACAGTGCAGCTTCCCTTGCAGGGGCCTGGGCGAGGACTCCCTGAAATCACCAGGCGGGGCTGTGACTCCAACTGCAGACTAAGGGATTCTGTGTGGTGCTCAACTTGATTTTGCATGCTGAGTTGTTTCACTTGATGGTAGAAAACATGGCTGCTACTTTCCCACCAGTTCTCCACCCCTTCTGGGTGCCCTAAGTGTGCCAAGGGGTCAGGGTGGGTCCGGGGGTTGCCACTGAGTTGTCCTCTGCCCCATCCTGAAAGGCTCATTGGATAGGAAGGGGAGTGGAGTTCAAAATACACAAGAAGGGGCTTGGTTCCACCCTATCAGAATCCAGGCTAGTGTAAAGGGGCCAATCAGAAGAGCCCTGGGCCTGGGTATGTAGGGGCTGCCCTCTTCACCTGCCTGCCTGGGTCCAGCAATTATTATGAAGCTGCCCGAGTTTGCCAGAGAAATCTCATCCCCTGGGCTGGGGTTGACATGCAGACCTATTTGGCCCTGTTCCTCCCTCCTGCCTTCCTCTTTCCCCTTCCTTTATTCCTATTCCCACACACTTTGGAGAAGACTGAAGTCTATGAAATTTTCCTTTGGGTCCAGTTCTCGGAGGCCCTGACTGGGTTCCTCCCTGAGAGGCTTCCTCGTCTTTCAGCTGCTTTCCAGACTGTTCTGTAACACACGCTAGAGGATCCTGGTGGGATTTGGGATGCACGACAGACTGATGATTTGGAGTTATCTGAAGCCAGTGTCTGCATCCAAGGGAAATCTCCCTAAGAGAAGAGCTGTCACTTCTACCTGTGTTGGGGGTCAACAGAGAGGCTCTGATGTCTTCCTTTGGGCAGGGCAGACATTTTCAGAGGAAGCTCCGTCTTCTGCCCTGGGGGCTGCGGAGAGAAAAGTGACGGCCCCAGAAGTGATAGGCTGGCTTTGGTTCAGAGGTGAGAAGCGGGGTCTCTGCTGGGAGCAAGTCAGCCCCTCAGACTCAGTGCTTGAGGGCCTGGTGGGAGGGAGAGCCGGGTTGACTTCTCTCAGCGTGGATGAGACAGGATAGGCCACTTGGAGCCAGGGTACAGGACAACTCAGACCGGTGGACCCTGGTGGAAACTTAGAAATAGATGGGAGCTTTCCCTCCTTCCTGATGGTGTTATTACAATCTTGACTTAAAAACTGGCCGATTTTACTTCTGAATTCCGATTTTTAGTGTCTCCTGAAAATCGGGAGCTCTGGTCATAGCGGTCCACGGTCCCACCTGGCCACACAGCAGCTGGTGCTGAGGAGTGACTGCCACCTTCCTTCAGGACGTAGCTCTCCAGGGCCCTGCAGCCTGTGTGGCCCGCACGCTCATTACCGGCCTGCTGGGCTAGCAGCCATGTTGACGTCAGCTTGGGGAGAGCCCGGTGGCCGGGAGTCAGTCAAAGGCAAATGGTAGGTGCGTTCCCGAGCTATGGCTCCTGCTCCTCCAGGGCACCAGTAAGGGGCCAGGTGTCTGAATTCCTCCGAGCCTCGGTTTCCTCCACACAGACACGAGGACTGTGTGGGACTACTTGGAAACCATAGGTGGACAGGGTGTGCTGGCTACTTTATTGTTGCATCTAAACCTATTTATGTACTTAGCAGCCTCCCCAAGGTGCCCTGAGAAGAGGGACCATGCCTGTCTCCAATGTCAGCCAGTGCCAGGCACCAGTGAATCATGGCTAAGTTGAAAAGCTAGGTGTGGTGGCACACACGTGTCATTCCAGCCACGTGGGGGGCTGAGGCAGGAGGACTGCAAATTCAAGCCTACCTTGGGCAACCCAGTCTCAAAATTAAGAAGGGCTGGGGGTGTATCTCGTGGTTCCTGGCTTCAATCCCCTGTACCCCAAACAAACAAGAACCAGTCGGAGCCCACTAGAGCGTGGAACACAAGCCACACCCACCTGCAGCTGGAGCTTACACGTCCAGCCGCCTCCTCTGCTGCCCGGCTTGGTGGGCAGGCAGGGTTTGGCCTAAGACTTCTGACGTCAGACACCCTTGCCTGCCCTCGGATCTGGCAGGCTTCTGTACTTGCCAAGCGGCTCTCTTAGGTGTCGCTGTCTCACAAGAGGCTCATTTCCTTCTTCAAGGAGTGGAGACTTCACCCCCCCCACGGCCCTGAAGTTACTTCCTGGCAGGCTGCAGTGCCCAGCCTGTCCAGCAGGTGGCGCCACGGACCGTGCAGTGGGCCGAGGTCCCCGGGGCTCCATTCCGGCCGATCCGCCCGCTGGGCTTCAGACCTGGAGCTGGTTGCGGTTGCCACACTGGGGACAGCCAGCCGTGCGGCAGGGACTGTGTAGACAGTGGGCCCGGCCTCCCCTGGATTGGACTCAGGACCTTTTTTTTTGAGTTGCTTTTTCTCTATTTTTTCATTATTTCACTCTTTCTTGATTTTTGTCTTTCCCCTCCATTTTCTTTCTTAGCTTTTCTAGTTTTTCTTTGTCTCGTAGCAGATGTCTATGAGCTTGGTTCTATCTTCTGTTCTTCCGTTTTTTCTTTTGTGTTTTTTCTTCTTTTGTCTGCACCCCCTCCTTCCGGTCGGATCTGGGAGAAGGATGTGAAGACCCAGGTAAACTGTAAAGAGAGGCGCTCCCAGGGCTGCGCCCCAACCCCAATTCTCCCGCTCCTTTTCCTTCGGGAACCACGAGAAAGCGGTGGCCACCAGGGGGCGCTGTGGGAGGGCCGAGGCTCCCAGTGTCGCTGTGGGGGACGGGACGGGACGGGGCTGGGCTGGGCTGGGCTGGGCTGGGCTGGGCTGGGCTGGGCTGGGCTGGGCTGGGCGTTCAGGGTCCCAGTTACAGTCTCCTGATGTGCCGTGTGACCTGGAGTGTCCCTGTCCCCTCTGCACCTCATTTGCCCCCGTGTGAAAAAACAGCATCCAACCCAGCTTCTCTGAGGGACCAGGAGTGACACTTGAATCTGTCCCGTGTCTTGAGCCCTTCCTCTCTACCAGGCACGTTGCTAGGTGGCTTCGGACATCATGTCCTATAACCCTGTCACCAGCCCTTCAGGGCCCTGCGCTACAGAAGAAGAAATGGGGCAGACAGTTGGAGTGAGTGACTCGAGGCCACGCAGCCAGTGGTTCAAGCACTTGCCGGCCCCAGATGTGGGTCCAGGTGTTGGTAGCAGTGTTTCATTTGGCAGGTCCTGGAGAATGTGACTTTGGTCCTAGAACCTGGCAGAAAGGAGGACAGGAGGGGGGAAGGGTTGAAGAGGAGGTTGCTTTGCCAAGGACAGCACTGAAGGCTATCCGTGGGAGGGCAAGAGGGAGCTTTGTGGCTGTTGTTGTGGGTACTGCCTCAGGGCCTTTGCACATGTTGTTCCCATGTCCTGGAGTACTCTTCCCCGACTTGGGCTCTTCCTCTGTTTCTTTCGCTTTCTTTTCCAGCTCTGCCCACGTATCATCGCCCCCCACCCGCTCCTGTTGTCCTCTCCGTCACTCTATTTGGTTTTCCTGCAGAACACTTCCCACTGCCTGGCAGGCTCTGTCATCAGCCCCTCGGTCCCCGTCTGCCTCAGGAGCGGGGACACCTGTCTGGCAGTGACCCAGATCTTCGGAAGTAGGAAGGGCTTCTCCTGGCAGAGCTGTCTCCTGGGTCCTTGCTCTTCCCCCTCAGGACACGGAGGTCACAGGTGCCGGAAGGTACTGCTGACATCCCTGCTAGGAGCTGCTGGCCCCAGGCTCCCCCCACATGTCCAGAAGCGTGTGGCTGTTGCCCAGGTGGCAGGAGTGGAAGCTCCCTTTGGGCCTGGCGGTGCCAGCAGCAAAGGGCACTTGCTGACCTGGTTCTGTGCTCTGCCGTGGGGTTTGGTGATCAGAGCCTGTGGTCCTGAATGCTGCAGTTCACGCTGCCAACTTTTTGGGGTATTGGGGATTGAACCCAAGGCCTTTGCACTGAGCTACATCCCCAGCCCTTTCCATCCGCACCCCTGATGTGCATCTCCCGCTCCCCAGTGTGGCTCCCGATCCTGCTCCCTGCCCGCCCATTCTGCTCTTTTGTTCCCTCATAGGTGGCTGTGTGCTGAGCTCCCCTCTTGCCAGGGCTGGATGCCCAGCAGGAGGCCAGGGGTGCGGTGGGCACCCCCAGAACGCTCTTCCATCAAGCTTGGACCCCCGGGGTGTGGGGTGTCAGGCACAGCTGCTGGAGTGGAGGGGACCTACTGCTGGGGTTTGTTCCAAATGCCTGCAGGATGTTGATCTCCAGTGTCATAAACTAAGGGCATTATGAGGGCGGAAATGCAATCCAACTCCAGTGTTAAGGTGGGGACTTTGGAGAGGGATTAGGTTAGTTAGGATGATTAGGATGGAGCCCATGATCAAGTCCTGGTGGCTTTGAGAGAGACTGAGCAAACAGCTCACAGACACACTCATGCACACATGTGATGCCATGTCCTGCCTCTTTTCTTCCTTTTTTTTCTGAGACAGGGTCTCATGGCAATCCTCCTGCTTCAGCCTCCCAAATGCTGGGATACAGGCATGTGCCTCTAAGCCTGGCCAACCTCTTTTCTTTGTAAGTGTCCTGCCTTAGGTGTCTTGTTATAGTGATGGCAGGAGGACTGATACACTCACACTGTCGGATGTGTCCTCACCCAGGATTCCTTCCAGCAGCAAGAGGTTTGCAGACATCTGAAGGTGAGTCTAGGTCTGGCCCTCTTGACCTTGCTGGCGTCATTTAACAAATATTTATCGAGGGCCTACTATGGGCCAGGCCTTGTTCTAGGCCTGACATCACGTTCATGAGGTCTGCGGAGTTTTTATCCTGTTGGAAGGAGACAGATAAAAATGTTGAAACCAGGCTGGGGATTTAGCTCAGTGGTTCCGCCACCTGCCTTGCAAGCACAAGGTCCCGAGTTCAATCCTAGGTACCAAAAAAAAAAGAAAAGAACCACAAAGGGCTGTATTAGGTCAGGTGGTACAAGGGCCATAAGGTAATTACGGCGGGTGAGCTGTCAGGGACAGGTGTGTGAGCCATTTAAATGGTCACAGAAAGCTTTTCTGAGGCAGACCTTGAATGGAGACCTAAGGAGAGATCTGTGGAGCCATCTGTTTCCAAGCAGAAGATACAGCATGTACAAAGGCCCCGAGGTGAGCCCATTCCTGGTGAGTGGAGGAGTGAAGAGGTCACGTAGCGGGAACACGGAGGGCGTGGGGGCAGGACACGCAGGTGACTGGTGCACTTGGGAGTCTGTCCCACAGCCACTGGTGATTCTGAGCAAAGAATGCACAGATTTCTCACCTGTAAATTGGAGCAGTTGTCGCTCCCGCCCACCAAGCCTGCCCCTTGAGGAATTCAGAAAAAAAGCACTGCACAGTGGAAGCTGGACGATAAATCACTGCACTTCCTCTATTGTTTTCTGAAATGTGTGGCGCAGCAATGACAGGCAGGGACGGCTCTGTGCTCCGCTTCAGGCACGGGGCTGGAGGGGAGCTGAGAGGGGAAGAAGACGCTGCCGGGGCCCGGTAGTTGCAGCTGTGACACCCCCAGGCTGCACAGGAGGTGGGTCTCATTCCCGGGGTACCAGCTAGCAAGTGAGGCCTGCGCGTGTGCGGTCCACAGCTGCCTGACGACTCCCTGGGCCTGATGCACGGGGGCCAGCAGAGCCAGGTGCACGGGCTCTGCGTCACCCTTTGCCTGGAACACGGCAGCCCCTCGCCGTCTTCCTCCCGAGTCAGCCCTTGGCTCGCTCTGCCCAGGGCCGCCGGGGCCTTCCCTCCCCTCCCCTCCCTGGAGACCCCGTGTCCCTCCCTGCTTGCTCCTCTGCCCTCCCCTCTCTCGATCTGGCCTGGCCTCCTGGGCCCCTCCCTGGTCCTTGAGCTCTCTTGTGGCTCTGTCTTGGTGGCTCTGTCTCGGGGGCCTTTCTGTGAGCTGCTCCCAGGGGGACCCTGTTCCCAGCAAACCCTCGGGGCCCTCCTCCCCTTCCGGTCTCTGTTCCCGAGTCCCCACCTCAGTGAGGGTGGACCTCCCTGGACCTGCGAGCCCCACCCTTCCGGGTTAGTTTCTTCCGGGCACCAGTAATGACCCAGCCATTTGGGAGCTGTGGCTCTCCCCAGCAGGCTCCGCCTCCCTCTGCTTCTCACCAGGCCCAGGGGAAGTGCGGGGACCGATGAGTGTGTGAGTGGACGTGGGGCAGGGACAGATGTGACCGTTACCTGGGGCCCAGAGACTGGTGGAGCCGCTGTGCAGGCCTCAGACCCCTCCCCCGTCACTGCAGTTGAAATCCTCCCCCAGGACAGTGGCTGGGATTTGGGCCCAGTCCTCTGGCTCCAGACTCTGCCCAAGGTTCTGTCTTCATTGGCCTGGTGACAGCTCCTTAGGTGCACGGGGACAGGGTAGCTGGGCCTGGGTCCCCTCCCTGGTCACTGTGGCAGCACCAGGCTCTCCTGCCTTCCTGCCCAGACTCCTGAGGGCCTCAGTGGAGGGGCCCTGTCCCCAAGCCCATCCATCCTGGGGGCAGGTCCCCAGCCAGCTCTGCCCAGCTTGTGGTGGGGGCCACTGCCAAGTCCCCCTGCTCCCCTGAGTTTCCTTCCAGCATTTTCCAGGCCCAGCAGGCCCATGTCCTCAGGACAGGGCTGCCCTCGTTCCCACTGTGTGGCTTGGCCCTGCTGCCTGGGTTCAGCCCGCAGGAGCTTCCTGCTCACTCCCCTCTCCGTCAGAGCCAGCCCACCCGTCCCCTCTGTCCCTGCTCCCTGCTCCTTGCTGAGGAACACCTGCATCAACGTTGCCGTGAGCCCAGTGCCTGTTTCACAGCTCCCTCCTAGAGCTGTGGGCTGTCCAGATCCCGGAGCAGGGCTGGTGAGGCATCCCCGGGACAGGAACATGGTGGGGTTCAGGCTGCAGGAGTCACAGGGAGACCCAGAAAGCTTTATCCCCGGGATGTCCTGCAATATTAGACGTGAAGAGATGTCACACCAGGGTCATGGAGCTGAGGGCAGGCTGAAGAGCGTACACAGGACCCTCGGCAGAGAATGGCCTGCTGACTTGGAGAATGTAGTCATCCCCCGCGCACTGAGGCCGGAGGCCAGGGAGGCTGAGGTGAGGGTGTGGAGACAGAGGCCTGGGCCTAGTCCCTAAGCATGCGAGCTTTGTGGCTGGCCTTCCTGGGCTAGGATTTCCAGGCAAGTCCCTTGACCTCTGTGTGCCTCAGTTTCCCACCTGTGGCATGGGCTCACAGGGCTGCTGGGGGGCTGGAACACGAGGGAAGGTGAGGCCTCCGCCCAGTGCTGGCCCTGGCTGCACAGCCAGGGGTCCCTCTGTCTAAACCCCGCCTCCCTTGGGACAACTGGAAAGTGACCACCAGGCCTGTGTTGACAGGAGAGAGGCCACCCTGCCAGGCCGGGCCAGGGACAGAGTTCATCCATTTGCTTTTCAGAGAGGCGTGTTTATCTGTGTTTTCTACCTCTGTGCTCCAGGGAGACACTGGGGAGGTCGCCGCTGCCAAAGTAGCCCCACTCATCTGAGGAGCGGGTTAGGCAGAGCCAGGGGGTTCCTCCAAGCTGCCACTGCAGAAAAAGTGGGGTGAGGAGGAGGCCCTGGGCTGAGTGCAAAGTGGGGAGGTTCTGGGCCACACAAGCTCCGCCCTGGGGTCCCCTGGGCTTGGCCTCAGCAGCAGGGCCTGGGGGATCAAAGGGTGGCAGTTCAGAGGCTCTGACACCAGTACCCACTGGGGGACACCAGAAAGCACAGTCCCTGAGCATCCACGCCCCCAGCATGTCATCAGCATTGCCCCTCGGTGACGCAGGTGGCCTCGGCTCGAATTCCAGTTCTGCCATGGCTGACTGTGTGGTCTCAGGCATTGACTACTCCGCGCCTGGTTTTCTCAACTGTAAATGGGAATAGCTATGGGCGCTTCCCTCCCGGGGTCGCTGAGGCTGAAGGAGCGGGTCTTGCTGGCAGCTGAGTGCCCAGCCGGGAGCGGGGGCGACTCCTGGCCTCACTGCGCTCCCCACTCCCACCAGACCTGGCCGCAGGCCCCTCCCCTCCGGGTGGGCTCCGGAGCTTCCAGCACACTGGAGCTGGGCAGCCCTGAGTCAGTCACAGTGGGCAGACGAAGCTCCCGTCCCCGAACACGTGGGGCTCCGCTGTGTCCTTCCGATCCGATCCGTGGATGCCTCCGAGGAGAGCAGCTCGGCTCCTTAATTCTCTTCCGCTCTCCCTACCGAATGAGCCCCTCAGAGGAAGGCAGGGGCAAGTCCTGGGGTCCGGCCGCAGTGTGCTTCTGGTTACATTTCGGCTCCAGAAAGGCAGGCTCGCTGCGGAGAGGCCCTGCCTTATCACAGTAGCGAGTCAGGACGGGCCTCCGTGGCGGACGTGGTGTGGATGTGGATGTGGATGTGGATGTGGATGTGGATGTGGATGTGGGTGTGTGCATGTGTCAGTGTGCACGTTTGTGTATACGTAAGTGGGTGTGTTTGTGTGTGATGTATGTAGTGTGTGTGTGACTTTCACACGCGTCTCCGTAGAGCACAATGTCTCAGAGACACGGGTCTGCGTCCACCTAGTTCGGCCACACCCAGAGTCCTGGTGTGTGGCGTCCTCATTCCTGCTGGCTTGGGCAGTGACCTCCTGAGCGTCTGTTCTGCACCCCCGGAAATGGCAGCCTGGCACAGACCCAGTGCCCAGCTCTGGATTCCTGGGGATCCCCCTGGTCCCATGTGCTCCTCAGACGTCAAGCTCCTGCAGCACACAGACCCGGGCTTTTCCGCTGACCTCTGGTTTTACCCTTTCCTCCTGCTTCCCCTTCAGGTCCCGCCACCCCTTCTTCCTGCCAGGCTCCCCGAACCAGGTGGTGGGAGAGGCTGCTCCCCTTTGCTGGAGGTCCCTGCCCGACGTCCACACATAAGACAACCTGTCCAGCGAGGCTTTTGTGAGCCACTAGAGCCACCCTACAGCTCACCTGGGCAGCATGTAGGACAGTTCTGTCCCCTCGGTGCCCCGTGTTCTGGATTCCCGTCCCCAGCTTACTGTCCTGACCCTGACAGTCCCAGCTCCTGCCTTCTCCAGCGCTTCCTGCCAGCTCTCTGTGTGGCTCACAAGATTCCTGTCCCTCTGGTCGCTCCACTGACGCGGGGAAGGCTGGGCCTCGTTTGTCCTCCGTCCTGGGCTCCTGACACCCTGCTACTCCCTAGCTGCATCCACCGTCAGCACCTACTCCATCACCCACCCAATCCCTTCTTGTCCCGGTGACTGTGACGACCCTCTGTGGGGTCTCCTGCTTCTGCAGCTGCTCCAGGGGCAGCAGAGTGAGTCTCACAATGTGCGTTAAGATTGTCACTCTCACCTAAATTCTTCAATGACTTCCCAGCGCTCTCACCTTAGAACGCGAACTCCCTACTGTGGCTTACCTGACCCAGCCCGTGTCATCTGGTGCCAACCTTCCTTGAATCGCTCCGTCCCCTGCTTGCTTTGCAATAAACTCATCACCACCTCAGAATCTTTGCATTTGCTGGGCCTGCTGCTGAAATGCTCTCTCTCTAGAGCCTCTCTTGCTTGCCTCTTCTCATGCCCTGGGTCATGGCTGGAACGTCCCCTCCACCTGTCTGAAGCAGTCCCCATGTCCTGGGCAGTCACCTTGCACCTTCTTCTGTCTATTCTGATTCCCTCTGAGGAGTTACCCAGTCTGTGACCACTTGACTCATGATGTTGTCTGTGTCCTCCATGGGTGAGGCCTTGGTTCCAGGACATCGTGTATCTGGCACCTAAGATTCACCTACGAAATACTCAACGAGCGGGTGAGTGAACGAATGAATGGAAGCTGATCCTGACACTGAGTAGATTCAGCTTGAAGCTCACCTGTCTCCTGTCCCATTTCTTTCAAAGATTCCTACAGCCAAGGACTAATGAAGAATTTATTTGTGCTCATGAATATGTATTAGGTCTTTCACGATAAGATGTGCATATTTTAATAAGGAATGTCTAGAGACACAATTTTTAAGTTGAGGGACATCAGCCCAATAACAAGGAGGTAAAATGCTGCTGAGTGTAGCGTGGCTGTGTAGGACATAAGGGCCCTGACCAGCATCAGGTCATAGAACTTGTGGCCTCTGGGGTGCAGTGGGGGGGGGGGCGTAGTGCCCTGGGTGTCAGCACAGAACTAGTGACAAGTGCCCGATAGTCACCTCCTCGGGGGTCTGACACTGGCAAGTCTCTTCCCTCCTCCACGGCTTCAGCACTCAGTCTAAGTGGGGGTCCTGACCTCACAGGGGTGCAAGGCTCAGATGATACAACATCAGGGTCCTGACATTTCCTGAATTATAAGTCTTTGCTCAGGAAATAAATGAGATTATGGTAATGAGTAAAAGTGGCCCTATTTTTGGCTTGGAGAAAGAGAAAAGCCCAAAATAAGTAGCTAAGGACAGTTGTTGGCATCACTCACAAAGAGTTCTGTGGAATTCAGGCAGTTCTGGCTCAGGGGCTCAGGACCCAGGTCCTTCCAGCTGCCTGCTTGCTGGCTGGCTCTTGTTGACCATGAGCTGACAGGATCGCTTCCCAGCTCCACAGTCGCCGTGCCTACGACAGTGCCCAGAGCAGGAAGAAGAGGAATTGAAGTGTCTCCCTGTCACCTCTTCACAAGCGTCTGCAAACTCACATGTGGGTGAGGGCTCTGCCACATGTTCTCCCACTATTTGGCCAAGACCACACCCCGTGCTTCCCCCTAGACCAGGTGCCAGCAGAGAAAATGGCGTTATTGTGATTGAACATTGGTTTCCCAGCAGAGGCACAGCTCCAGGGATGTGTTGGAAATGTGTCTTGCCTCAGTGGCCGGTGGCAGGGCTGGCATCATCACGTTCCCCATGTGTGGGACAATCCACATGAGACAAGTTGTCGCGTTTCCCACCCAAATCTCAGTGTCCCTCTGGGCATTCACTTGTGCAGGAGCCGTGTCCCTGTCTTAGCCCAGAGCTGACACCAACTTTAGATGGAAACGAAACTTCTGCAGGATTTTAACACATATAGAATATCCTACTAATAGGCATTGTCGCCCTTGTTTCTCACCGTCTTACTTCTCTTTCCTCCAAACGTGTTTTCCAGGTGTCTGTGAGGCCCTAACTAGCCTAAGTCTGCTCATTTGCATATTTAAATATGATTTATTTCATCACAAATTATTGTTCTTTTATTTCTTTTTTATAATCCACTTAGGGCGCTGTAATGCATTTTTAAGTAGGTGTGTGATGTTCTAGGTTAATTATTTATGACTTTCATTTCAGGGCAGTAAAGAGATCATTAAGCACATTCTTCATGAGGTTGTGGGGTTGGATAGGGTGGAGACTGCTGGCCTGGATCCATCGAACTGGTGCCCCAGGACAGAGCAGGGGGAGTCTGGGCTCTGGGCTGCATTGGGGTGGGGATGGGTTGAGGTCCAGGGTGGCTACTGGGTTGGCACCAACCACATGGATTGTGTCACCCATGCACAGCCATGTTGGTTACCTGTGCTGCACAGAGCCAGGTGGGTGCTGGGAAGGAGCTGCCTGGAAGCGGGGCAGAGGCACCAAGATGGCCAGTGAGGCAGGGCTGGGCTTGCATTAAGCCCTGAGACTGGACCCTGGGAACTGTCATGCCCAGGTCCTGTTGGCCCTTGGTCACCAGAATTGCACTGATTTATGACCAGGAGAGAATTTGCTGGTGGGAATGAAAGTTGGATTTCTGAGTACATCCCAGAGAGCATGGGGGGAAGGTGTGGTGTATGACCAGTACCCAGCTCATGGGCAGTTCTGAATGAGGCTTCTCTTTCATCTGACACTTCCTGAGCTTGTGTTGAGTACAAGAGGTCATGTACCAGGTGTGGCAGTTTGGGGGCATTGGCCCTGAGCCTGCCCTCAGGAGCTTCCTGTTTGGCCAGAGATGTCGCTAATGGGGGTCATGTTCAAATGAGGCTTAACTGGAGGAAAGGGCTGCATTTTGATTCTTGCTTTATTTTGAATTAAGGAATGAAATAGTTTCTTAAATGTTTATCCTTTACTCTTAAATTATGTTAATCTGTTCATCCAAGGAATATTTATGAGCATCTATTAAGTGCCTGTCTTCATTGTGGGTGCCAGAAATCACAAAAACACAAAAAAGAAGAAGAACAGGAAGGCACAAGAACCCTGGAGAAACAGCCTCCCGACATCTCCGTGCAAGTGTATTTCAAGGTTTATTTGTAGGAAGTTGTCTCATTTTCTCAAGCCTCACACCACCCTTGGCTACTACACGAGTCACCCGGTAGCATGTCCCGGGGGACAAGCACAGAGTCTGACCTGGGAGTACATAGCATATGCACCAAAACAGCTGTAGGGTTTTGCTAGTTTTCATGTGGCAGAACCCTGGGGATGCTGTGTGCAATCAATAAAGCGTGACTGAGGAGGGCGGCGAGTAACAGGGACTTGAGTCAAGCTGGGGACATGGTACTCGAGCTTGGGATTCTGAATTGAAGGGTTAGCTCCGGAAGCTGAAGGGTCTCTGTTTACTTACTGGCAGCCACTCGGTTTAGGATTATAGAACATTCCTTGCATGATGTAAAGGAAGACACCCATGGCTTAGGGACATAGAAGTGTAGTCAGTGACACGCACAATCCCTCCATCAACCCACTCCCTGACCCCAAGGGCCTGGCAGAACCTTGGTTCACCAAGGCAGTGTTAGTCACCTGACAGAGCAACTTCCTCCTCAGAGGTCTCTGTGGGCTCTTCCGAGGGGGCAGGTGTGAGAGGGAAGTCAGGGAGACACTGGATGGTGGGGATGAGGACAAGTGACAGAATTCACCCCTGAAGACAAGATGGGCATACTGACTATGTTTTCCACAGGAAAAGAAGTAGTGGGTTGGGGATTTAGCTCGGTGGCACGGTGCCTGCCTTGTAGGCACAAGATCTTGAGTTCAATTCCCCGTACCAGAAAAAAAAGTAGCAGCAATCAGCATGACCCTCCAGGAACCTTTCCCTGTTCATCATGGCATCCTTAGAAATGAGGTAGATGGGCTGTGTACCAAAGCACTGTTTGATCTGTGTCATAGAAAACTCCAGATCCAGTGGCCAGAAACCACCACAATGGACCATCATGGCCTCTCGCCTCATCTCCTCACAGAAGCCAGATGATCAGTGGAATTTTGACACAGATACAAATCACAGTGGACCCAGAAGTTTTGTAGATTCATTCTACCAGTTCTTTGGCAACTGGAATAACTCATGGAGCAAAATCCATGAGTGGAAGCCCTCCCATCAGACTGCAGTTTGGGGTGAATTGCAGAGATCAGTGCCATCCTCAGTGACTTGAAAGATGCCTAGGTGAATCCCATCAGATCCCCACTGACTCACCTGTTTGCCCTGTGTGGAAGCGGATGGGTTTTGTAGCAGGACTTCAAACCTCATCAGGTGGTGAAGCCAATTGTAGCCACTGTCCCAGAAATGTCTTGCTTGAGCAAATCAAGCTGGTCCCCACCTCAGAAACCCCCTCTTGACCTGGAGAATGCGTTAGTTATTTTATCTAAATGAGTTTCTAAGGATGAGGAGAAGCAGTTTCACCTACTTGGCAGAGCCAGCAGTACATGTTCACATAGTCCTGCCCCAAGGCTGCACTGATGCCCCTGCTTTGGCCACAGTACAGACTTCAGTGTTAACTAAGTATTGAAAAATCAAAATACAAAGAGAGAACACTAAGGCAGGGGTTGGTAAACTATTGTTCATGGGTGGGTTGACTGTTTTTGTAAATAAAGTTCTTTCGGAGCACAGCCGTGACCATTTGTTTAGTTACTGCTGTGGCTGCTGTCAACAAGGATAGAGGTGAATAGTTACAACAGAGATCATGTGGCTTGCAAGTCTCTAATATTTACTGTGTGGCCCTTTAGGAAAAAATGTGCTGAGCCCTGCACTAAGGGGTCAGAGAGGTAGCAGCTGAGACTTGCAGAAACAGTGGGGCTGAAAATCGTCTGGCACTGGCTGGTTGAGGATGCTGGTGTATCTAAGGGCACCATGGTGACATTAACAAGGACATATTAAAAATAGGAAGAAGCAAAACCAGGAGAGGAAGCAGTCAGGAAAGAGCAAGTACTTTCTTCCTCTGCCAGGCTCTCAGTCTTCCTTTAGTGCCCTTTGGGGGCGAAGCCCCATAGGAAGTCATCAGCAAAGCCCCACAGGAAGCCTCCAGTGACTCCTCAGTGTGGTTGCAGAGTTGTTGCCCTTTACCATAAGGAGCACCGGGCGTGTGGGGAGTTGCTGCAGCCAGAAGCCCACTGTCCTCTTCATTCTGATAATTGCACAAAGAATATAAATTCAGCAATATGTGTGTGATCAGTGGTCCCATTGTTTTCCCCCCTAAGAAACAAAGTTCTGGGATATCCACACTCAGGGGTCATGATTTCCCAGTAGTTGATAATATCAAGGCTCCTTTATTCCCCCTCCCAGTAAATCTAATTTATATGGATGGGGAGATTAGGCAGTGCATTTCCTGGCATCAGAAGGCTGTGAATCATTCACAAGGCTTTAGGAAACTTGGGGAGATTAAGGTTTTGCATAATGCAAATCAGGAGAAGATGTTGGCGCTGCCTCACTGTGGATGCAATTAGTGCAATGTGCACCACAAGAAATTCATTTTCCTGGGACAGAGGAAGGTCTGCTTGGTATGCAAAAGAGCATGGTTATTTGCAACACAAGAGCCCAGAACTCAGTTAGGAGAGCACCCTGTGACTGTTTGATTTGCAGCTTTAAAGAATTTAAGGATGAATAAAACATTGAATTAATTTTCAAAGGACCGTTGTGAAATGGCATAAGATCTAAGTGTACAGTGAAAACAAGAGTCAAAGCTATGCCTGTGTTGTGCCCTGGGCTTGGGTCTTGAATCTTTTGTGCTACCTGGAATCCTCTCCCAACTCATCAGGTCCAACTCAAGTCCCCTCTTCCAGGAAGTCCTCCGAGCTCACCCCAGCCCATCCACACCTCCTTTGTCTGATCAAAGTTCACTCATTCAGTACGCACTGGCTGACCATCCACCGTGTGTCAGGCACTTGCAGTACCAGGCACATGGGACAGAGTAGCCAGTGAAACAGCCAATGATGTGCTTCTTGGAGCTGACATTCTAGTGGAGAAAGAGACGTTGTCAATGTATAGAAGATGCTGGATGCTACAGAGTGAAGAAAGTCAAGGGGCAGGGGCAGTTTGTAGGGAGGACAGGAAAGGCCAGGAGCTAGGGATGGTCAGGGAGGGCCTGGGGTGGTGACATTTACACAGGGAACAATGGGTGGCTGGCAGATGCGGGTGTCCTGGGAGACAGTCACGGGCGTGGAGGAGCAGGTGCTATGGTTATTGGTGGAATAATGGCCAGGGCCGGGGCGGTGGGTGTGCAGAAGGGGAGGAGAGGGAGATGAGTCCCAGTGAGCAGCACCAAGATTGCATGAGTCCCGTTCATTCATTCATCCATTCACCTAATTCATTCATTCATTCATTGAACAAATACTTTCACGGCTTGTGAGCCAGGACTTGCAGTTGTAGACCTGGGAATCCTGCTCCTGTGGGATTGTATTCTGCTGGAGAAATAGAGAATAAATAAACCAGCAAAGTAATTTCAGAGTGTGATGGGGAGACATGAGAGTGACACGGTCAAGAAGGTGGGCCTGGAAATTCACCACTGGCTGCCAGGCCCAGGGTGCTGGGGGAGTTCTTACAAGTGACTGTTAACTTCCTCCTAAGCCCATTTAGCAAGTGGGGCAACAGCGGCTCCCTGGGGGCAGGGACTGTAGCTTCTGCTTTTTGCTCTCCCTCTACAGAGTCTGGGAATGTCGGCAAGTAGAATGAATTCCCTTCTCCTTCTCCTGGGGTCAGCATGAGACTCCAGGAGGTTCTTAGAAATACAGCGTCCTCTGCCCTCTCCCCGCTGGGTGGCCAAGACTCAGCGCTGGATGAGTGTGGAGGAGCAACTGGATTTGGGGTGAGAATCCCCAGCTGGGGGCTCCTCTCCCACCCACTGTAGTCACTGTGGGCTGAGGGCTGGTGGAGGCTATGTTGCAGCACAGGGCTGTGCCTGCTCTGGGTGCACCAGACCAGGGGAGTGGGCACAGGGCCCAGCTGCAGAGCAGAGGCTGGCAGGGCTGGCTCTCAGCTCTGCTGCCCTGGCTCTGACCTCAGGCCGACCAGGCAGGGGACAGTGGCTCTCTTCTGTGGGGCCTCCGGGGCTCCTGCTCCAGCTGCCCATGCTTTGGTCTCCATGCAGCCACAGGGAGCCCTTCGGGTTCCAGATCTGACCTCACCCCTCCCTGCTCAGAACCTCCCATGGCTCCCTCTCCACACCCAGAGAGAGCCCAGGCCTGAGAGGACACCAGCGACCACGCTCCTGAGCCAGGCTGCGCTGGGGTCTCCTGGGAGATGTCCCATGAATGTCATCACTGCCTTTCTCACTGGGGACCCCCACGAGCATCTGCTCAATGCATGCACTGAGGAAGGAAGAGTTGGGTGAAGTGTGGGGTGTCCCCAGAGCCCCAGGGACATGTGGGGACACAGGGGAGGGGCCTGGAAGGTCCTCAGTGGCAGCCGCTCCCTTTAGGGGCAGTTTCTTCTCAGTCCACAGCACTGAGCTGCTCTGCTGCCCCATGGCTCAGGGGTGTCCCTTTCAAACATGGGGGTCCTGCTGGCCGTCCCCCTCTGATGGCTGCAGAAGGGAGGGAGGGAAAACAGATGTGATTTTGCCCCTGGAGGACCCAGGGCTGGGAGGCGCTGAGTGACACCTCGAAGAAGCCTTTGTCCTGGTCGCTTGGCCTCTGGTGGGGACGCGGCCTCAGGCCTGTCTGCCAGGCCAGGCCAGCATGGTGGACCTCTGTCTGGCCATCTCCCCATTTTTATGTGAGAGGCAGGCAGGACATGGCTGGGCTGGGGCCGCCATCTGCTCTGGGCTGCATTGTGCCGAGAGCTTCGTGTGCTCCAGCAGGGGAGGGGTGGCTCCAGGCAGAGGTCTCAGGAGGAAGTGGAAGAAGGGGCTCCAGGCTGGCCATGTGGATGGGGACGCTGAGGGCAGAGCTGTGCCGGGCCGCTGTCACCATCTGTGCTCCTCCCTTCTGAGGCCGTTCTGGGGTCAGCCTGGCCCAGGGGAGCCCCCTCCTCAGCCCGGGCCAGGGCGGCATGTGCAGCGGGTGCTCAACCTTCTCAGCTGGCAGCCAGTCCCCGGGTGCTCTGGGTCTGGGGTGTCCTGGGCTGCGCCTGCCACCAGAGCTCTTGGGCCTGTGACGGCTGCCTGGGAAGGGGCCTCAGGCTTCCTCCTGGCTCCTCTTCTCCCACAACCTCCCAATTTCTGATGAGCAGGGGAAAAGATGCTGCACAACACAGAGTTCATTTCAATATTAATTCTGGAACCTCGTTTTCAGCAGATAATGAAATTACTCTTTAATGACAAGCACAATGTCTGTGCCTTCCCTGGGAGCAGGGTTGGGTGGGTGTAAGGGCAGAGACAGGAAGGAGCTGTGTGGCACCACCCAGGCCTGGCGAGTCCCTCAGCTCCCAGCACCAGACTCAGTATGGGCTGTCACCAGGCTGGGCCCAGTGAATGGCGCTCCTGTGTTACATCGGCAGATGTCCCTTGAAGTTCTGCTTCCTGTGGAGAGATGTCCCCTCATGACAGCTCCCTCCTCCCTGACCCCCTAAAAATGCTCAGAAAGGGACCAAGTTCCCACAAAAACGAGAAAATGGATTCACTTTGGCCAGCACTGGAGAGGAGCGGCTCTCAGCTTGGGGCCAGGCTGCAGAGAGGTCTGGAGTGAGAAGAGTCCTAGCCCTGGGCTTCTGGTACCCACAGAGACGTCAGCACAGTGGCTACAGAAAGACACTGCGACTGTGATGACTATGTGGGGGCACAGTGGCCTGAATCCCTGCTTGTTCCTTAGAGCCCCTCCCCCCTTCTTCCTGGTCTCCCCTCACTGGGTGTCAATGCTGCCCAGCCCAAGGTGAGGGCCAGAGGGAGCTCCCAGGGTGCCACCTCCTGGCCCCTGTCCAGTGTGGCCTAAGGACTGGCACTCTGATCACCAAGTGCTTGGGCCAGGACATCCTAATGGGCACAGACTTTGGAGCCAGAGGAGCTGGTTCAGATCCTGGTGGAGAGATTCCACTTGGCATTGAAGAGTAATTTAATTATCTGCTGAAAACGAGGTTCCAGAATTAATATTGAAATGAACTCTGGCTCTGTGGTACAGCATTTCTTCACCTGCTCATCAAAAATTGGGAGGTTGTGGGAGAAGAGGAGCCAGGAGGAAGCCTGAGGCCCCTTCCCAGGCAGCCGTCACAGGCCCAAGAGCTCTGGTGGCAGGCACAGCCCAGGACACCCCAGACCCAGAGCACCCTGGGACCTGGGTGAGCCAGGGAGGATAGAGTCGGAACTGGTCAGGGGCCAGAGAGTGGGTTCAGCGTGTTCAGGGCCCAGGGAAGGCAGCCGAGCACACTGAGCTCACAGAGGAGCTGCTGCCCTCTGAGGGCTGTTTCCAGACTCAACACCCTGCTGCAGGTCTTGGCTCAGAGTCACTTTGGAATGAGGTGGTCCTTGGTGTCCCCATGGAAGCTCCCAGCCCCATCCTGGCCACTTGCTCTGCTGCTGACCCCTCAGTTCCTGTCCCGTGCTTACCATCAGGGACAATGTGTATTGTACTTTGTGACTGCTGTCTGGAGATGGCTGTAAGATGTAAGTCCTGCACTGCAGGATCCCCTATTCTTTCACTGTGACATCCTAGGGGTTGAGCCAAAGGCACCTGAGGAGCAGCAGGGAAAGGTGTCCCCATGGAGCCTGGAAGGAGGAAAACCCTGTCATGGGGATGTAGGATGGATGCTTAGGGTGACCTGAACCGACAGCTGTTACTGCCCCAGCCCCGCCTCTTGGTCTTGTCACTTCTTCAGCTTGTTGGTTCTTTGTCTGGAAGGAACAGAAGTTGTGTTGATGACTACAACTTGATAGTCTTAAAAGGAGTAGTGGTTATTCCAACATTACTGGTTTTGAAATTGTTTTAGCTATTCTAGTTCTCTTGCTTTGCCCAATGCATTCCAGAATTAGCTTATGTATTTGTATAAACAATCTTGCTAGAATTTTTAATTAATATCACATTAAATCTGTACATCAGCTAGAGAAGAATTCACCTTACTATTTTCTATTTTTTTGTACTTTTTTTAGTACATGTTTGCAATACATAATGTTTACATTAGTTGTGGGAAGTTGACACACGTACATAACATAGCTTAATTCCTTTTTTCATTTCATTTCTCTTCCCTCCCTTCCCCCCCTCCATATCTTGATCCCCTTCCCACTTGAGAAAGATCTATCTCCCTACTTCCTATTATCTCTCTTTTATTTGGCTCTTTATTTATAATTTGGGTTTCCTCATATGAGAAATCAGGCAAAATTTACTATTTTAGCCAGGGATTTAGCTCAGTCGTGCTGCCACCTGCCTTGCAAGGGTAAGGTCCCAAGTTCGATTCCTGGTACCAAAAAAAAAAGTTACTATTTTAAATAATCTTCCAATCCATGAACATGGTATGTCTTTCCATTAATTTAGGTCTTCCTTGATGTTTTTCATCAGTGTTTTATAATTTAAACTGTACAAATCCTGTCCATATTTGTTAGATTATGTATTTCCTTTGCAGGAGTTTTTCTATATGGCCTTTAATTTTTTTCTAATACTACATTACTATTATTTAGAAACATGATTGGTGTTAAGAAAAAGAAAAAAGAAACTTCATAGCTGAGAACGGGTCTTTATTAGAGGCCTGAGAGGGACCAATTTGGTTGAAGTGACCAGAAAGTCTCTTATCGTTGATAGGGTTCTCATAGAGCAGTGGAGAGGAGTTGTAACAAAGGAAATTTTTGTTATGCTGAGGTTGTCAAAGCAAGGGGTGAAGGGGAGTTGTGTTTGCTCAATGGGGGGGGCACAGTTCCCTCAAGGACAGTGATCCTTAGGCTGTCACAGCTGCTGCCTGCAGTTTATGAGAGGGGAGGAAAGCTGTGGTCTCTGGGCCTTAACAGCTTGGGACTCTTGTTCAAGGAAAGGAAACCTGGAGTCCATGAGGTTCAAAGAGAAAGGGGCTGAAGGGCCTGCAGTGGTGGGAGTCTCGTTCCTTCAGTTGGTTTTTCTGTGTTGACTTTCTCTTTTATTTCTTTTCTTGACTTCAGATGGTGCTTTTTAAAAATTGTAATTGTTGCCCTTTATTTTTTTTTCACATAAAACCCTGGTTTCTTTCAACAGCAGAAAAATAAACTCTGCAGGGCCTGCTTCCCCACACAGCCCACCTGCTGGAGCTGCAGAGTGGCCCCAGTCACAGGCACACACTCTCCTGCAGCCGGTGGTCACTTGCCCACCCTTCAGCCATCTGCAGCTATAACCCCTGCCCTGGAAGTTGGGTGGAGGACAGCAATGTGCTCATCCTTTGTCCCCTCTTCCTGAGAGCTGTGGGGTGACATCCATGGAATTGCATTGCTCAGACCGAGGTTACATGGCAGCCCCATGCAGAGGATATTGTTAAACCACTTGAATGTGGGCGGGGAAGAGCTTCCACTGTGACCCTGATGATGGGGGTACAGACTGTGGGGTCTCCTGTCCCCAGTGCCATCTGTCTCTGGTTCTCCCAGAGGCTCAGAGCCCTGGGTCCTCTTGAATCCATTCCTGTCCCTGCTCAGAGCAGCCAGGCAGAGGCTCTGGTTTGCAGGAAGAACTCAGGCCCTATGGTGGGAAGTTCCATGTAGAGCTGGGGACCGAGACCCAGGAAGTCCTTGATCTGTAGCAGGAAGTTGCTCTGGCCCCAGCCCAGCACACTTATCTTTAATGGATTGGAGAGACAAAGGGAAAGCTGTGGGGTCCCGGCCTGAGCACCCAGGGGGTCTGGTCATCCTGTGGCTGCTCCCTCAGAGGCCAGAGTGGCTTTGTTGGGGGTGGCCAGGGCCGGAGAGGCCCCTGGTCATGGTCATACCCTACCTCCCACCATCTTGCAAGGCCCGAGAACTTCCCTCTACCTAGGGGTCCAGGTCACTGCTGTACAAGGACAGGCTTGTCACATGGTTGCTCAAAGCAAAGCTGGGAGCCCTGTATCTTCCATGGTGGCCTCCAGCCCCTTTCCCCTCCTGCCTTGCTCTGTGACCTGTGAGGCTGAGTGGAGCTCCTTCGCCTCTGGTTTTGGGTCTGTCTACCCAGTAGGGAGCCCCAGCAGGGGGTTAGGGTGGTGATGTCGAGGTGCTAGTTCCTCTGGGTCCCTCCTTTTGGGGTCACCTTGGCCTGCCTCTGCCCTGGCCTCCCTTCTGGCCTCATTACAGGCAGATGTTTCCTGTCCCAGGGCCTTTGCGCTTGCTGCTCCTGCTGCCTGGGTGGCTCCTCCCCAGCTCCTCCCATGTTTCACTGAGCAGTGCTGCTGTGGTTGAGCTGAGGAAGCCTGGAGAGGGAGAACAGGGGCTCCTCTTGACCAAGTGGTGCTGGGGCAGGATGGAGCTCAGTGGACCTGGAGCTCTGAGGAGGGGTCTGAGTGGGAGGCAGGTGTCTGAGGTCATGGGTGGCTGTGTTTTCCTCAGTGCTGTCTCCTCAGGGGCGACTTCTGCAGCTCTGCCCAGGGATCCCTGAAGCATCACACGGGTGTCATCACAAGGTGATCTTACTGGGTTATTGGTAGACTAAGGGGTTTGTAGATGGAGATGAGCTCGCTCGAGCCCCTTCCATTCACGTGTGTACAGATCATA